ATTTCTGTTCTGATGGGCAAAACACGAATTCGGCTTACAAAATGGCAGCTTCCAAGTCATGAAGTGAATGGAGGTTTGTGGGCGTATGTGTGTGCGTGTGTGTGCGTATGTGTGTGTATAACAGACCTTTTGAGCGCCACTGAAACAGTGATAATACGATGATACGTAGGTCATGACCGCTCTTTCATCGGGCAATGCAGTATTTTGCAAATCTGTATATGATCGGTGGTTGTGGTTGGTGATCGTGGTGTTGTTGTTATCGTTATCGTTATCGATATTGTTATCGTTATCGTTATCGATATTGTTTCAGATTGATTTGTTGGGAGAATTGTTGTTGTTGTTGTTGTTGTAGCGAATAGCGGTAGCAGAGTATTTGTTGTTGTTGTTGTTGTTGTTAATGGCGTTGTTGATGAGCGCATTCGCATTCGCAATCGCAATCGCAAGAAGAGTAGAGAGAGAGAGAGAGAGCGAGAAGAGAGAGAGAAAAAGCAACAAAACATACAAATGAATTATTTGTCGGTTAGTCTTTTCGGCAGGCATATTAAATATTAGCAAATAACACTCAATATACGAGCACGATATATACTATATAAATATACATATATATATGTATATATATATAACATTATCTTTTCCGTCTTCTAAAATGCATGCAGCTGCAGTGAAAACTCTGCTAGACGAACCTATACTTTGTTTAGAGCTATGTTTATGCCATGAAATTCACGAGTTTCGCACACTTTAAATATTTTCGAGCAAATTCATTTAATCGATAAAAATATAACAAATAATGTTATCGATAACATAACAAATTCTTTATCGATAAAATGATTAGTTTGAAATCAAAATGAAAGGCGAAATATGCTCAGGCGCAGCCAGCTTCATGTCTATACGATTTTTGGCGTTGCCAGCTTGTTTGAAGTGTGTGTGAAAGAGAGCGAGAGAGAGAGCGAGAGAAATGGCCAAATTTTGCCATCAATTTATAGCTATTCATGGCTTAGACTATGATAATTATGAATTCGCAAATTTCATGGCATAAACTTATTAGTACAAACTTGAGCTATGCTTAAAGTTGGCTGCGGCTAAGCTTGAAAATCGAATTCCTAGTCTATTCGCTTTGTTAACCAACTGGCTAACTACCTGACATAAGTAACTATTTTGTATAGAGAGATAGATTTTTGAAAAAATATTAATAAAAAAAATGATTTCTTTTTCACCCAAAGAGTTTTCACTGTAGAAGCATGTGTTCTATGCTTAGCTAGGTGTACTTCTAGTATTATATTATGAATAGATCGCATATTGAGCGCGTTTTAGTAGCTTAACATTCATAACTTAAGACATGCCCAGAGATTAGCGCACATGGGTATGGAACGAGCGGAGGCGGACGAACTCAGGCAACGCTTCGAATTTAAGAAATTCAGATCGAAGCATGGACTGAGTTCGCTGTGCCACATACTAGACATCAATATATGTTTGTATAGTATGAAACAAAAAAAAAAATAAACATGGATAATAACATAACATAAGTATAATATAAGATATTATAATACAATATGGATAAGTCAGCCGATAAGGTCAAATTCGCATTCGCATTAAATGCAGCATGCAGCGCAAGAGCATATGATTGACAGAGGGAGAGAGAGAGAGCGAGAGAGCGAGAGAGAGGGAGAGAGAGAGCTTTCACACAGATGGCAAACACGCATTAGCTCAACAGCTGTGAATGCTGTCAGAGACCTGAAAGCTCACCAATACCAATGCGCAACTCTCGTATTAGTGTGGAGTTTGTTAGTGAATGAGTTTTTTTTCGCTTTTTTTTTTTGGCTTGCTTTTTAGCTGTGGCCAGAGCAAAGCTGCAAATTAACGTATGAACGAGTAAAATATCAAAAGCAGCTTGTTGGCTTTTTGGGTTTTGGCGCGCTTTGGTTTTTCCAAAAAACAAACTGCAATACATATATATATATATATATGTATAATATATATATAAAATAAATATATATATATATACGAATCGTATATATATAGAAAGAACGAGAAATGGAATAGATATATCATATTTATGTGTATCGAGATGTGAAGTTTAGTCACATTGTAATTATTCGGGACGTAGGTGTATTGTCTTGTGGGTTCGGGTACATGCGTCACATTTCCAACCTGTTGGGCTCCCTGGAAGGCGTGATAGTAGCAGGAGACGTACGTCATGATGGCACGTTCATCCGGTTTCGGAGTGTTGATTAAATCTGTTGTTGTTGGATTTTCGCAAATTTTAAAGAATTTTAATTATGATCATTATTCGTACGAAAAAATTCGTAGCCTAATCTTAACTTAAATCCAGACCTTAACTAATAGCTAAAACAGTTGAGCTGTGGCTGTCAAGTGAACGGGTTTTACATACCATCTGGATCCAACATCCGTGGAATATCTAGATATTTCTCAGCAACATCGAAGGCAGTGTTCAGATTCTCCAATGGATTGTCTTTGGATAGCTTGGCATAGTCAATCAGATCTGGTCGATGACGATGGATGAGCGCACAGAAGGCCAGGCCGTCCTACAATACACACACATATACATATGTATATAGGATATGGGATGACGATAAGATGACGATAAGATTGGATAAATGGCTGTACCTTGAAGGACAGATGGAAGTTCTGTACGTTGACATTCTTGTAGGGCGCCGTCTTGCGCTGGCACCACAATAGCAGACCCTCCTTGGCGGTCATCTCCTCAACGGAGATATCCTGAATGGCGAAGCGCAGAATGATTGTCCAGATCATGCCCAGCGTCATTTTGAGATTGCCATCGACGATCTCCTCGGCGCCAATCGATACCAGATGCACGCCCTTCGACGCTATGAAATCGAGCGCCTTGTTCACGTTCGCGATTTTGTGGAAACGCATCTTGCCGCGATCGGGCTTGGGCAGTGTCTCCCCAGAGATCACCTCCAGCAGCAGCATCAGCTTGAGGCCATTGCGGAAGTCCTCCTCGATGTTGTCGATGGCGGTGCCAGCTTTGCGCAAATGACTGTTACACCACGCGGTAAATGTCTACAAAGTCACGAAATACATGATTAGCAGAAGAAGATGAAGAAGAAGAAGAAGAAGCAGCCATTTAAATTCAGAGCAACTATTCAGATATCGATCAATATCGATCAGTTCGATTAATGTTAAAGCCTTGCAAGTCAGTTCCCTCTTTCAATAAATGGAACTCGCAAAAACCTAGCATTTTCTATAAATTATATTACTTTCAGTTTCGATATACTTTAGAATAAAACAGTTAGACCTAACCCCAAAGTACAAATAACTTTGGCCCCAAACAATTGGATTTATCTAACCATATTCGGTAGATGCCAATTTTGGATGTAGAACAAATTTAGAGCCTTATTTCTAGATGAAAATATTTAAAGCTCGAAATATATTTTCTAAGTTGAAAATTGAATTACTTAAACAAAATTTTGGAAATCTTTGACTAACCAAGAACTGGATTCAAGGTTTTATAATATTTATCCTCGAACTTTTGAACATACGAGCGATTCAAACATTTTCGGTAGCTCGGATTGTAAAGCGGAAGAAAAGAAAACTAAATTATATTGTATTTAAATTTAAGCTAGCATAGAAGGTAGACTATGATAAAAATCGATTCGGTTTTAACGAGATTTGGCATATAAATCATAGTTCTGGGAAGAGCATCCAAATACCATGAACTTGAGATGGTGGATGAGCAGCTATTATGGCACACAGAAAAAGGGAAAATCTAAGAATTTCGTAATATTGATATGCATTTGGAAATCAGTTCAGTCCGAACAAAGTTGGAATTTAAAAGGGAGCATTAACTCGAATTGGGAACTAAATAAAAAAAAAGAAACAAGCTGCCAAACCTAAATTTATAGCTGAGCTAAAATATTGCCAAATCGATCAACAAACATAATCAGGAAAAAAGCCAAAGAAACTGTTAGTGAATTAACAAAGTTGAAGATCAGCTAACGAGCATTTCAGAGTTGAAGGATCAGCTAGTTTGTGGATAGTTTGGATTTTCTTAAGCTGTGCCGCCGTTGGAAAGCTGGAAAGCTGGAAAGCTTAAGATCAGCAAATGAGCTGGGCCGGTCTGGCAAGGCTGTGCTGCTGCAGCTGGTGACTGCAGCGGCGACTGCAGCGGCGACTGCAGCGGCGACTGCGACAGCGGCAGCGGCTGACAGTTGCAGTTATTTTTCACCGAATGGGGACAGACGACAGCAAGAACAAAGAGAAAACAAGAAAAGACAATGTAGAGATGTCTGTTTGTGTGTTTAAAATATAAACCAGTTTTGTTGTTTTTACTTCTTGTCTTTTTTTTTGTTTTTTTCAGTTTTTTTGTTTTTTGCACACACTTCATTATTTTGGAGTCGCTGCCGCCGTCGTCTGCGTTTCTGCTGTTGTTGTTGTTTTTGTTGTTGTTGCTAGGCAAAAAGCTTGCGCACACAAGTATGGAATTACGGCATACAATGGCGCGCCCACACGCCCACAAAAATTGCAGCTGTTAATAGTCGAGCGTGCGCGCCTGTGCATGTGCATGTGCATGTGCATGTGTGTGTGTGTGTGCTGTGTTTGTGTGCGCATGCAAATGTTTGTGTTTGGCCATTCACATGGATTTCGATCAATGATCCAACAGTGAAAAGGAAAGCGCAGGCACACACACGCACACATGCACATACGTGCACACGTGCACGCACTTGCATAGTCAATACGTAGCCGATAACAATATGCATAACAATGGACAACCGCTACGCATATCGTAGGGACAACAGCGCTGCCAGATGGGGAAATTATTAGAAAAGTGGAAATGATAAAGTTGAACGACAAAGAAAAAAAAGAATGGGAACAGAGCTGGAGCCGGAGCCGGAGCCAGAGCCAGAGCCGCTTTATTGGCCACTTTAGCTGCTTACAGTTAGGTGCGTGCATGAGACAATGGGACAGGTCGCCATGGAACTCGCTTAGATTGTTCGGATGCTGTTATGGCTGCTGCTCTAAGACGAGCTTAGAAGAGCAAAGCGGAAAACCGGGCAGCTAAAGAACAAGAAATGCAACTGTTAATGCAAATCGCTGTTAGGCTGTGTGTATGTGTGTGTGTGTGTGTGTGTGTGTGTGTGTGTGTGTGTGTGTGCGACGATCAAAACGAGCGCTGGGGACAGATTACCTCTGCATTACATTACCTACACAAACAATAACACGTTCAACTAGGCCAGCAGCGCAGCAGAAAAGAGAGCAATACACACACACACACACACACACACATATGTACGTGCAGTAGTGTGATGGGGGAAGAGAGCAGGAGCGGGCTGGGGGAGTCTGGTAAGCTGCAGTCTCAGTGCGTTGCCAAACGAGTCGTTGGCGCTTACCGCTACTTGGCTATATGCATGGATGTGTGTGCTTGTGTGTGTGTGTGTGTGTGTGTGTGTGTGTGTGTGCAGCGCGGACTAGCTAAGTGTCTGCCGCATTCCGCCGCCAACCCGTTTGTTTTGCTGCTACTTCGATTTTTTTTTTTCTTTTCTTCTTTTATTAAATAGTCAAAGCTGCGCTCAGCGCTTTTACCGTTATCGGGCAGAGCAGCAGCAGCCTGTGTTGCCTGCTGCCTGCGCCGATCAGGCGATTGAGCAATCGTCTTTAAGAGCACAACAACAAATGCGCACGCGCCAAAACAAAAACGCCGGGAGCTTTTTAAAAAAAAACAAAAAATAAAAAAAACAACAAAATAAATAAAAGCTCTCTATACGATGCGCACTCGCTCTCTCGCACACACCATTTTTAGCCGAATGTAATTTGAGCGGCCTCATAGCATGGACTCATTCGCACACAAAAAAAAAAAATTCAAAAAAATTCAAAAAAAAAAACCAAAGCTGTCTGCGCGGAATGGGGTGAAGAGCAAGTGATGCTCATTTTGGCAAAAAAAAATTTGTTGCACAAAATCGATAAGCATAATTTATGTGTACACGTACACACAATGGCTGTGCGTGTGTGTGTATGTACATATATCGATAAGTGGCTGTCAAAAGGTGTCGCAATTGTCAAACACTGGTTTGGTTATTTTTTTTAGTTTAGTCATTGTCTATGGCAATCCTGCCAGCTGGCAATTGTCTAACACCTGAGGCATGTACATATGTATGTATGTATGTACATGCAAGTGTATGTGTGTGCGCTGCACTGATGATGACGCATAGGCAGTTGAATCATACACACACATGCAGGGCAAGAGACAGCCGTGTTCGTGTGTGTGTGTGTGTGTGTGTGTGTGGAGAGAGTGAGAGCCAGCGCAAGATTCATCACAAATAAACAGCCTACGCCCACCAGCCCACCTGCTTGGCTGCCCACATCGCGCCCTGCTGCCCGCCCGCACACCCCAACCACAGCGCCTTTTGCTTGTTCACACAGTCATCAGCCTGCCATTTTGGCCAATGTAAACACAGAAATGCCAACAACAACAACAACAACAAAAACAGCAATAACAATAACAACGAAAACAATTTGTTGCTTTCATTATTTTTCAACTGCTGCGTCTTTTATAATGACGAGACGAAATTCTGTTGTGCGGTAATTTACGATTACGAAATTTATATATGCACATGCATATATGTAGATCAACTGAATCTATAGACTTGCCAGTCTGCTCGTGTGTGTATGTGTGTGTGTGCTTGTGTGTGTGTGTGTGTCAAGCTCAATCATCAAATTGTTTTAAATCAAGTGGCAACCTCCTTCATTATATTTGTGCCATATTCCAATGTTTCTTCTAATTTGTCATTAGCCTGCATCTCTTGCTCACTCTCTCTCTCTTTCTCGCTCCCGCTCTCTTTATGTGTGTGTGTGTGTGCGTGTGTGCGTGTTGGTGTGGAAATTGCAGTTCTTCAGCATATTGCTGGCTATTTATAATTGTAAATTGCTGTCGCGCGCACCGGCCACCCCCACCCCCAAAAGCATATCATGAAGCGGCGTGTCAAAACCGCAACCTTGCACTAAATTTTCTTGATATTTATTTTATTTTATTTTGTTTTTCTTCTTTTTTAGACAATTTTTAGAATTATGTATGTATATAAATAGCTGCATAGCTGTGCGTGTGTGTGTGTGTGTGTGTGTGTGTGTGTTTTTTGTTGTTGCTGTTGTTGTTGCAAATAATAACACAAAGCTGTACAACAACAATTGTTGAATCATTTTGTTTCTGAGCTTCATTTGCGACAAAAGAGAAAAACAAATAAAACAGTTGCCAATTTGGCAATTGAATAAACTGAACATTTTCTACACATTGTTACCTGATTACTAGTTGGGTCGATTGTATAGTGTGGTGTGGAAGAAGGTGGGGTAGGTGGGGGGATTGACATTCTGATTGGAATGGCTTATCAGGCACTATGGCAACACTTGCTTTCCAGCTGGGAAGCTGTCTTGTGCCATTGAGTCATATCTGAACGATCTGGCAAGCTATCAATTGAGCAACTATTTAGACAGTGGCAACATGTTGTTGTTGTCAGGTAACGGCAGCCGCTTCCGCTGAAAAAAAAAAGAAGAAAAAAACAGAACAAGCAAACAAATAGGCAAAACTAGAAAGAGAATGGGAGGGGGAGAGAGAGAAAGAGAAGCGGCGGCGGCAAGCAGAAATGCGCGCAACATAATTGAATGGAACATTGTCTATAACCTTCAGCTGTTTGTAGAGCGAATGAGTGAGGGAGGGGGGGGGGGGGGGGCTAGAAGGTGTTTGGGTAGTTTGTAAAGTTATCGAAAGACATGGCCTTAACTTTGGCTCGTTCAGTTGGCAAACGTTGGCGTCTGCAAGTCGGCCATTGCGTTTTCCAGTGATAAATGATTGTGGCACAAAATGTTTTTGGATGAAGAGCAGCAGCAGAACAACAACAACAACAACAACGCTTTATTTTTGTACAACATATTTCAAACATTTCGAAAAATAAAAAGAACCATGAAATTAATCTATTTTTAAAACGCGCGCTGAGCTTTTCGCCTGCCGCGCACAAATATTGAAACATAATCGAAGAAATATACATACGAATATATATACATATATGTATATATATATATATTTAAACACATTCAATATGTATGTACATATATAATATATGCCTATATGTCAGCTATAGCTATAAACTAGACCCATACAGACACATACATATATATATTATGTATTTAATATGCGTATTTGTCTTCAAGCGACAAACCCGATAGCTGCGCCAGGTCTGGCAACACTGGCGATAACTACCAGCCTGAAGGATCTATGTGAGATATCAATAATTGAAGAGACATCATCTAATAGTGACAAAAAGTCGATGAGTCTGGAGTTAACTTAAAAAAGTTGATTGCTTTCTGAAAAATATATTTTCTTTTAACTTTTTAATATACAATCGATAACTATTTTTAGCCTGGCAATGCGATCGATAACCGGGATATTATTAAAACTTTATCTATAAATGGTTTCTCGCGGTTTTTGAAAGGTAGTTCAAAGGAACCTTGGTATAAGGTATACGGTTTATCGTACCCCTTGTAACAATCTTAAGTTTACGTTGTATAAAACTCTAAAGTTTTGTGAGTGTAAATATTGTTTAAAGTTGAAAAACTGAAAAGTTTTTATTGCATTTTGAATGCCTGCCTTAAGTTCTTCAACTAGAGCGTTAACTGTAAGAAGTCTGGCAACATTTCGAATTTCAGATAAGGAGTAAATAAGGATTGGATTGCTATCCTAATTCGACTTCAATTCTATGCAAAATTATAAAGCTCATATCAACTTAATCGATTGCTGCCTGAAGTCTGGCAACTCTAGCCAGAATATAGACAGTTTCAATTTGAGAACCAACTATTTCTAGTTGTATTTATGTTGTTAGCTTAGAAGTTATTGGGCACTTACCTTCTTCTGTTGCTTCTCCCACGCCGGATCGAGCAATCCCTCGCGCTCCCATTCCTCCTCCTGCTCCATGTAGCCATCTCCGTACTCCATGGAGATACCGTTCTCCATCATCATTTTGTGGCTGTTTCGTTTGGTGCAGTTGCTGGTGGTGCAGTTGCTGTTGCTGCTGTCGATTGGGGGGTTGCACTTTTCTTGATTACTTCGTTTGGGTAACTTTTATTTTTATATATGTATATCTTTTCTTTATTTAGTTTAAGTTTAAGTTATGTTTTTCATTAACAGTTGCAGTTGCTGGTTGTGTGTGCGTGTGTTTTTGAATTTTTTGAATCTTTGATTGCGTCCTAATTTCGCTGCTAACTGTTAAACTGGGCCTAAGAACTAGAACGTGGGGAAGTTCAAGTCGTGATCGTATTCAAAGTTGGGTGGGTTGGGTTGGGGCTCTATATTTGGGCTAAACAATACTAATTTGTTGTTCTTTTGTTTCGCTTTTCAAGTTATGGACAACAATAACACAAAAAAAAAAAATGTATTAGATATATCGATAGATGTCTAGAGAGTTCGTTCGCAGATGATCCTTAAGATTTAATCTGCAAGATGCAAGAGAAAGAATGTGCGTGAAAGAGAGAGCTGCTGAGCAAAAAGAGCCAAAGATAGATAAATCGATACACAAAATTAAAGGAAACGGAAATCGCAAAGTCAAAGCTGAAAGAGCATAAGAGACATACTCGTATCCAAAGGCTGCTTCCCGAAGGGCACAGGTGGCTGCACCCTGTGGAGCACAGGGTGGTGCGTGCTGTTAACACAATTTTCGTACTACAATACCGTTACAATTTGAGGCTTTTCGAACTCGAACTAGACAAAAACAAAAAAAAAAACCAAAAAAAAAACAAAAACGTAGATGTAACGCAAGAGTAAAGATTGTATTGGGCCGCAACGGGGGTAGGGGCTATAAACGCAGAAATATATACACACATATATATATATATATATATGAAAAAAAAACCGTTGTATAACACGATAATTTGCTACTTAATTATTTTGTTCACATTCGCTTTTGCTCGTTCGCTCGTTTCGTTTCATTTCGTTTCATCTCGTTCCGTTTCGTATTGGTATCGTTTTAAAAATAGTATTTTTTTTCGAAATTTTATTTTCGGCGTCAACGTCAACGCATGTGCCGTACCGTTTAGAACGGTACGTTTTTCTCTTCTTCTTCGTCTTCTTCTTTATCATAGGCGGGGCGGGGCGGGGTGCGAGACGGGGCGGGGTGCGAGACGGGGCGTTTTCGGGCGGATTGGATTGTGGATGTAGTACATATTTGAAATAATTTTGAAAATGCTTGCACACACACACACACACACACACACACGCAGGCACGCAACGTATATGTGTTTGTGTGTGTGTGTGTGTGTGTGTAGGGTTTCAGACTTTGATTGAGATTCAGATTCGAGTACGAATACGAATATTATATGCGTCCATATACATACATATATATGTATTTATATATAATTAGATATATATGTATGCATATGGTATATATATATATATATATATATATCTATATATATATATGTATAATATATAATTGGGTACGTTCCGTTTCGAAAAGTATTTAACACAGATATCTAAGCATTTTTTTATATTTCTATTTAGTACATATGTATATATATATATATACATATTTGTACATACATAAATATATATATATATATATATATATTTATATAGAGATATATTCTATATATTGAGCTTTATGTATCTGTATGTGTAAACATATATATATGCTCAACTCACGCAAACACACGCACACACACACACACACACACACACACACACGCATACAACACATTCGTAATTGCAAAAGCTTATTTCTTTTTTTTTTTTAACTATATATATATATGTATATATGTCTCTATATATATATATATTTTTAAGTATTTTTCTTATTTTTCAACAAGTCTTAAAAAAAGTTTTTTTTTTTTTTTTTTTTTTTTTTGATAACGGCTTGTCTTTTTTCTCGAGCGTGTTGTATGGCAAAATCAAAAAATAATGTTAAAAAAAAATTGAAAAAAATAAACTGATTTTGTATTGAACCAACAACAACAACAACAACAACAACAAAAACAACAAAACAATATGTGAATATACAATTAATGGAAATATCTACGTTTGTCGCTTGCAAAGAGAAAGACCCGCTCGCGTTGATAGCCAACTCAAAACTGATGTCGCGCCAGCAAAAACTGAATATCGTACGTATGCGACGACCCAGAAGTGGCAGCAGCAGCAGCAGCAGCAGCACCAGTCGAAGAAAACTGTGCAGCCGTAGCAGCAGCAGCAGCAGCAGCAGCAACAACAACAAATGCACGACGGCGATCGCCTCTCGTCGTCACAAAGCACACACACACACACATACACACACACACGAAGATGCCCAAACGAGCATGCGCCGACACACAGACACAAGCACACACAACGTACACAAATATACATATGCACACAGTGGGAGTGGGTGGCAGCAGTCAAAGGCAAAGCAAAAGCAAAGAAGAAAGTATGAATTCGACCAACAGACATTTGTTGTTGTTGTGGTTGCTGCTGCTGCTGCTGAGTGATGCTGTGTGTGCATGTGTGTGTGTGAGTGCGGCGAGTAAGCTTTGTTTGTGTGCATGCGTGTGTCGTCTCTCAGCTGCCGATAATTATCGATATGCATACGAATGCAAGCGCAGACACAGACAACAGGTAGATGCTGTTAGAGCAAATGCCGTTAGCTTTTGGAAATGCAATAACAACACACACACACACACAGAGACACGCACGCACACATGCGCAAAGCGGAATCCGCAAGAACAGCCGCAGACGCAGCCGCAGCCGCAACGAGCCACCCTGTGTGAAAACAACAACTTGTTGTTTGCTGCTGCGACGGCCGCTGCTGCTGCTGATGGTCAATGCGTGTCTGTCAGTTCAGTTCAGGTCTATCCGTCCGTCCGTCCGTCCGTCTGTCTGTCTGTCAGTTCGGGGTCGGACTGTCGCATCATACCGCCCCCGCATGGCTACAAAAATAGCAAATTGTTAATTTCGCTTCGGAAACTCTTTTCCAATACACACACACACACACAGACACATATATACATATAGGCTGAGCTGGCGGCAGGGGGAGCGGGCAACATGATTTTATTGGCATGCCACTTGGTTTTTCCGTGCAAAACTACTATGAACATGTGTGTATAAATATATATGTATGTATATGTACATATACATAATTATAATATACACACACACATATCTACATACATATAAAATATATACATTTCTGCATATAGACAGATTATTTATGAGTTTTATTAAATATTTTATAGAGCTAGCGCAAATTTGCTTGAGTATTGGTGAGCTTTTACTTAGAGTCCAACTCTCAGAAGGATTCGCAGGCCAAGCGCTCTCTCGCTCTCTCGAAATGCCGTATTCCACCTCCAGACAGACACGCTGGATGCCTAACGAAGAAGAAGAAGAAGAAGCAGCGCCAGGGGCAACACCAGGGACAGAATATTACGTAGTCGCAATGCTCCCACCCATCTGATCGCTCTCGGCCCAATAAGAAGAAATCGTTTATTTTTGGCGCATAATGTGCGTCGTCAGCGGCGAAATTTCATGCGTTTTTTTTCCATTTTTTTTTGTTGTTTTTTTTTTTTTTTTTTCATTTTTGTTGTTCTTTTTTCGAAAACAATATCTATTTTTAGACGTTCTGTGCGTTAATACCATATTTCTGAAAATATGTATTTAAACGCAAAACATACATAAATTTAATAAAAAATTGAAAGAAATGCCCGCCACAGATCCACACACTGACAGATAGACAAATAGACGGACAGACAAACGGACGGACAGACAGACACACTTTTGCCAAGGAGGCCAAAACCACCAGCTGAAGCAGCAGCAGAAGAAGAAGCAGAAGAAGCTCTTTCAATAGCTCCCAATTACAAAATTTGAACATTTATTTATTTCGTTGGAAACGAATTGACAAAATATTCTTTAATTATGCGTTTTTTTGCTGTCCAATTGGTTTGGTTTACACTCAAGAGAAATTCTTCTATTGTAATTGCCTTATCCCCAAAACGAATTGGATTCTAACTAGCATCTAATACGCCCATTCACGTTCTCCAATAAGAATGGGGTAGGCTGTAAGAACGTGTATATATATTCCAACTGGCAATTGCTTTGTTGCGTCTGTCATATAATATACGCATGCCGTTAGATTCCAATTGGAATATGACTTTATATTGCATAAAATACAAAATATTTAAAATCAAAAAGAAAACTTTTAAAGAAAAATAACGAATACAGTGAAAGCTCAATTAACGAATGCTGCCCTTGGACGGACAGAAATTTTGTAGTCAGAATCTTTTTTGACGGACACAAAAAATATTTGGTTTTAACGCTAATTTTAAACTAATCAAAACAGAATTAAATGGAAAATCGCGCTTGAAATAAAATGATGGCCAACAAAAAAATTACAATTACAATTACAATTAGTTTGAAACCAAATATAGAAAAGTATTCAAACATTTATTGAAGCATATTTGAAAAGAATTCATACAAGTATTTAAGATTTAGAATTGTAAAAAAGAAATATGTTCTCGAGTTTCCTATATATGAACGATATGAACAGAGTTTTTCATTGAATACTTTTCAAAAGAAATGCAAAAAACTAAAAAATTTTTTTTTAATATGGAAACGATTCAAGGACAAATCAAGAGCAAAAAGTTGGTTAAGTTCGAAGAGATGTAAATCTCCTAACTGAATTTGCCGTCAATTGGTTGCACCTAACGAGTGTCTACTGTACACGAGTATTCGCTGCAGTTCCATTCATTTGTGGGGATTTTGGACAGGGACAAATTCCAAGGTAAAAGAAAACACTTTCCTACGCACACGCACGCACACACACACACACACGCACACACAAATGTCGTTGAAAATATAGCATATATATAATATATATATATATAGATCTATGTGCACGTGTATATATATTTATAATTCGCATGTATTTTATAACTTGTGGGTACAATTATTTAAGAAATAATTACAATTTGTTTATGTATATGTATAGATATATATATATATATTTATATACATATGTATACATATATGTAGCATATATACATACATATGTATGTATGTCAGCCAACGTCACATACATTTAACTATGTTTTATTTTGTGTGTTTAGTGTTGTTTTATTTTTTCGTTTACACAGCAATAAACGGTTCAATCTTAAGGAAAACATTTTCTAGTTTGCAAAAAAAAATTATATATACATATATATATATATATATATATTATTACAAAAAAAAAAAAGTAATAATAAAAAATTACATATTTATCAGATTAAATATTCATGTTACAAATTATAAAAGACCTTGGTGAGTTGGAAAAGGGAGGGGGGCGGGGCGGGGCGGGGTTGGCAGAGAAATGCAAACAAACTCAATCACAATGAAACAATCAATCGATTTCGATAGAATCGATAAACGATCTTCGTTACACGCTATATATATATAGATATAGCATGCAATAAAGATCGATTTGTTCTATCGATAACAGGCAACAGATCCGATAGCTAATCGAAATTCACTCGGAATTGAGGATCAGGCCCGGCGGCGGCTGCGACTCCAGCTGTTCAATAAATAGCTCATCCAGCGGCCTATCGCTGATGATGCGGAAGAAGAACAGGTGGTCCAAGCACTTGAGGCTGATCGAACGCAATGCGGGCAGGCGCAGCAGCAGCTGTGCGAAGCGTCCATCGTCGCCGGGATGCTCCAGGCGGCAGTGCTCGTCGAGGCAGGCGTAGACCTTCTCGCGGCACAGCTCGATATCGGCGCGATTCTTGATGCCGCGTATATCCGGATTATACAATATGATCGCCTTCAGGCAGGACAGCTCGCGTCTGTCCAAATTGAGGCGCTTCATCTTGACGCTCAGCTCGGACAGAATGCGATCGAAAATTGCGTGCACGCCCGCCTTGATGGCGCTGTTCCGATGGTACGAGAAACTCTGGTTGAGGAACAGCTGCTGCGGCTGCAGCACCGGCGACCGCCGATCGAAGGCGCTGTCGTGCCCGATGCCGGCGAGCGCGTCGTCCAGCGATTCGATGCTGCACCAGGCCACATTCGCAATTAGCAGCTCATTCCAGGCGGCCTTCAGCAATATCACCTGATCCTCCAGCGGCAGCTGGGCAAAGTGCGGCATTAGTCGCGCATATTCGACCATCTGATACAGCTGTTTGTTAACCACCTGGCAGAGCGCCGAGACGGCACCCTTGTAGTCCGGCTGCACCGTCGAGTTGGGTCCGACGCGCAGGAAAGTTAGCGCCCGATCGCCGCTATGCGCCTCCGCACGCTGTTCGGCATCCAGTAGACGCTCAATGGTAAAGTCGCGGGACACGCTGTTCGGCATGAAATCATCGGAGGTGCTGTTGGTGCCTCCGCCGCCGCCGCTGCCAATGCCAATGCCAATGCCGCCGCCAGCAGCAAGGCCACCGCCAGCAGAACCGGCGCCGCCGCCACCGCCGGCTGCACCCAAGCGACCGGTGGAGGTGCGTGCGCCGCGCTGTCGCTCCTCCTGCACGGCCTCGCGCTTCATGCCGCACGACAGGCACTTCTGATAGCGGCAATATTGGCAGCGATTGCGCTGCCGCTTATCAATGATGCAGTTGCGATTTTCGCGGCAAGCATATGTGAGATCCTTGCGCACCGTGCGCTTGAAGAAGCCCTTGCAGCCCTCGCAGCTGTAGACGCCATAGTGCTTGCCACTGGCCCGATCTCCGCAAATGGAGCACAAATGCTTCGAGCCGCTAAGCGGATGATTTGGCGGATATTGTTGTTGTTGCTGTTGCTGCTGCTGCTGCTGTTGTTGCTGGGCGGCCGGCGCCAATTGATTCTGATTGTTATTGTTGTTGCTGGCCGGCAGCACGTTGACCATGTTCATGGCCTGCAGAAAGGGCACCGGACTCTCGGCCTTGGGCGAGAAGCTGCTGTTGTTGCTGTCATTCAGCTGCGATATGTCTGGCTTGACCTCCTCCTTGATGGGACCCAATCGGAAGCCAGCGTCCTGATCGCAATTGTCCATACTTTCCTCCTCTTCTTCTTCGTCTTCTTTTTGTTGTTGTTATTATTTGTATAGCTCTTATTGTCGCTGTGTGTGTGTGTATGTGTGTGTTGTGTGGGGGTGCTGCTGCTGCGTGCGACTTTCCCCACTGCAGTTTCACTTTGTGGTCGACAGGAACGCCACCGTGTCGCAGTCTGGCAAACCGAAATTGTGCATAAATTGCAGTTGATTGCATTTACATAACTTGTGCCTTGCTTTTGCCACTGTGTATCCAGTCTTGAACCTTATCGCGTTTCTTATTTGATTTGATATTTGCCAAAATCCAGAATTCGCATACACTGGCTTTTCTGACTAATGATTAAAATACTTTTCGCGTCGACATTTTTTCTCAACAAAGACGAAATTCACCACATTGGCTTGAATTCACCAGCAACCAGTGTTGTCCAGCGATTGTAAATTGTGGCGGCTGGCAGACGCACTAACTCACACTCACACTCATCCACACGCACTGAAAGTCAACAAAAGCATTTGGGCAACTATTTTGCTTTGTCTGCTTTGTGTTTGCCAAACACCAATTTAATGTGCATACTTTGCAATTTAGGCAGTGAAACAACCCTGTTTATAGCATATCAGCACCACAACCACATAGCCAGAGGCAGAGTTCTCACCACAAGCACACAGAGCAACTCTGTGTCTGTCGCAATACAATTCTTGTTGTACTTGCAAAACGCAAACACGCACACAAGCGCAGCCAGCCAGACGACGCAAACACACACAGACGGCAGCGACCCTCCTTGCAATTATGTGCGGCATATGCAAAAAATACACACAAACAAGCACACACACAAATGAACAGGCAAACACACATACATGCGTACATATGGACAAAGCGCCAATTCCCCGGCTCCGGCCTCGGCCTAAATAACCGACAAGGCAATCGCCAACCAACAACAAACAATGAATTTCACGAACGCGCCTACAACAAACAACACAGCACAATAGATCGAGTCCACAGTTTGGATCAAAGTCAAATTAATTTTCAAATTTAATCTAGTTGTATATTGAATGCACGGTGCAACTTACTTGCATGCGCACTTGTTTGATTTCACGCAGTACGACGCTCCGACTGTTTAAACAGTTTTCGCACTATATTGTTGTAAACACACACATGCACACATATAAACATTGACAAATTGATGAAAAACAATTGATAGATGCGTTTATTTGCAATTATTTTTACCGAACTGATCTGCCGTCCAATTCAAACACACTGCAAATAAAATACTTAAATATGCCAAATGTACTAAATTTGACCACAACAAAAATACGATTGTGACAGACACAAACTATCGATAATCGACTATCGGCAGAGCCGCCAAAATGCAGAGCTGATTCAATTTAAGGGGGAAGTTTGCTTATCTTATCCTGTTTTTTAATTCTATATATATATATATATATATAAGAGTGTATATATATAGTTGGCACTTTAGTCTGAATCAGCAGAATCGCAAAGGCAGAATGTTAAGCTCGTAATGCGTGCATTTAAATACTCAATCTCGTCGCGATAAAGATCTGATTCATACAGAAGATTTTGATACTCGCTGGTCAAATCACTTGGACTGCTGCTTTGTCCAGAACTCCGACTGGAACTGGACGGTGAGTGCGACTGCGACTGCGACTGCGCCTGACTTTGGCTCTGATCCAATTCCTCAAAGTTTAAATATAGTTGAAAATAGTCTTCGCCGCTGCTGCGGCAAATCGGGCAACTGTCTGATCTGGCCAATTGAAACGGGTTAATAAATGTTTTCAGTCAATACCCAGGATGCACTTACTCCTCCCACCAGCGCTGCAGGCACTGCCAGTGGAACACATGACCGCAGCTGCCCCCATAGATTTTATCCGTCGCCCCATAACGCTCCGAGCAGATCGGGCAGCTCACATGGCTTCCCCTGCTGTTGCTCCTGCTGCTGTTGCTCCGGCTGCCGCTGCTGCTGCTGCTGTTTCGATTGCCACTCATTGTCGTACTGAACTAATGCCACATAAATCGCAACAAATGCGTTCAAGAGAATTGCAGTTCCGCTTATCAGTTGCTCGCTTGTTCCGCCCGCTGTGCCTCCATTCACCAAAACTATCAATAATTATTATTTGTTGACATGGATATATCAATAATGGGAGACAAAGAGCCAATATTTTGTTGGTTGACACAGATCCAGGCCAGCCGATAGCATCATAATCTGTGCACTTTGTTTCATGGCAGACACTTCTGGTCAGATCTCCGTTCCAGAAAATGTATATAAAATAATTGAGGCTCATTTAGTTAAAGACTATCAAAAGTCAATAAGCCGATTTTTGAGTTAATGAATAATTAATTGAATAAATTTTCTTAGAAGCCTTTTAATTAAGTAAAATGTTTTATACTAATTGAAAAGCGAAACGCGATCATTTCAAGGGCCAGCTTTTTGGGCCATGAATTACTTAATTCAATTTTAAGGCTTTGCGAATTTCGCTCAGTGTAGAGCGCGGCGATCTCGTTACGATTACCCAGTAGACTGGGCGTGTTTCCATCTCTCTCACTCTCTCCCTCACTCCCTCTCTCACTTGCTCTCTAATTCTCTAGTCGAACAAGAGATAAGCTGCAATATGATTAGACCGGCTAAAATATATATTCCAATATTTATAGATTGATTAAAATATTTTCTACAATAAGCTTTACTGAACGCATAGAAATGTTTTGTATTAGTATTATTGTATATTCGATTGCTTTACAGTGCAGCCCATATAAAATTGAAATATGTGCGAGCGATCTATGATAGGTACAAACAAACATATATAGTCAGTGCTACAGATATAGTTTATATATAAATACATATATGGAATGTTTTATGGCATACTATATGGGTTAACAATCTGGCTATCAAATGAGGTCAAGGTCCGCAACAGACCCCTACCGATCGGAGCTCAACATGATTGTTACAAAAAAAAAAAAAGAGAATAGTTTACAATTTTATAAATAATATTTTAGAAAATATATAAAAATAATTAAATAAGCTCTAGTCGAAGGTGATCGACAATTGAGTGTTCCTTGCCCATAACTGTAACACGGGAGCATAACATAATAACTTTAACATGAGCTGTTAACAGTGGCCAAACATGTTTGATGAAATGTACAAAACTAAAGTTCTTATAAAGCAAAATTGCTATTAATTACAAATCAGTTTTTCGATTCGAAAATATGTTCAAGAAATGAATCATAATTCGAGATATTTTTTTAAAATGGGTTTGATGCCTTGCTTATATCAGACATACGGCTACGGACTTTAACGATAGTTATGTATATCGATAACATAACGATTTTAAGAATTGATCAACATTTACAGTTTGAGCTTGGGGGATTTAGAGATAGACTGGTTAATACTAAGTGCAGACAACGATAAATATCTATAAGTAGGTTACGATTACGATACGATATATGTATGAATGTGCCGCCACAAACGATATTGGGAGCACAATAAACCATTAACGATATTTGTATGTGTACAGAAAATATATGGACTGCCATTTACGATATAATATGCAAATATGCATTTAAACGGGACTGAGTACTTGTTATACCGTTTACGATACATATACATGTATTCATATATCGTGTGCAAGCTACCATTTACGATTCACATATCGGTATGCAGAGTACAATATACAGTTTACGATAACGAATGTGTACCATTTACGATATAAGTAGATACATCGAAAACGATATACATATCTGTATAAACGTAATCAATATAGAGTATTCGGCTTATCGTAAACGTTATTACAAACACGATATATAATTTACAAAACACATGTTATACTATATAAACGACATACATATATGTATACACATACCGTAAACGATATTGAGAGCACAGTATACTGTTTGTTTGTGAAATATATATGCATATATGTAAATATGCCGTAGTTGATATTGAATATACGATATATGCTTAACGATATGTACGATATACTATATATAACGTACGTAGTGGAGGAATGGTGGGGGATGGGTGTGGGGGGGGAGTCTGGGAATGTAACAGTTACGATATTTGGAATTAAAGCATTTCGTTAGTCTTTTGGATTTGGAAACTTTGTGGGCACTTTGCTAGCATCCTGCTGATCCTTGACCTGGTCGGATGGGACCGATGCCTGCTGCAGTGCATCCTTGACTGTGGCCTTGTCGCTATAAGATTGGTTTCTCTTCGGACTGTTGACGTTCATGTAGATGGGAGATTTGGTTACTTTGCTGACTGACAGCGCCGTTGTCGTCGTTGTCGGACTGGGCATTGCGGGCAGCTCCTCCTCCTCCAGTATGATGTCGTCCCCCACCATGGTGATGCGACGCAGTGGCGCCACCGACGCCGACGCCGGGGAGCCAGCTGCGGGCCGATAAACGGCGCTGTTCAGGCTGTGCCCGCTGCTGCTGTTGAAGCCGTTGTTGATGTAGGAGTGATTGCTCCTCTTGAGCGGCAGCCGGCTGCCGCTGCTGCTGCTGGTGCTGCTCGGTTGAGGCGTTGCCACCGTTACCGATGGCGGCGGGGGCGTAACCAATGGCGGCTGATTCGTTCGATTTATTAGATCTGGACATCGGGACATCAGCTCCAGTGACTGAGGCGCCGCTTTGGGCGTCGGCAAGGACTGGCAGTCGGATGTGGGCGTCGCCGACGACGACGACGACGACGCCGCCGCTGCAGCCGCCGCCGCCGCCGCTGCTGATGCTGCTGCGCCGGCGGACATCTGGGAGACAAGGGTGCGGCTGTGGTTGTTGCTCAATCCGGTATCTTTCCATTTCTCTAAAACGAACGGAGAGCGTGACTTAGTGGATGTGGTTCGCATGCATCGCAACTATCCATATCATGGTACATACCTGCGGCGCTGCTGGCCCCGTTCGTCTTGCCGAAGGGCAGCAGGAGGCGTGCCGGCTGGCAGAGGACGACCGTTTTGTAGGCCTTGCGATATTGCTTGTTCATGATCACATAGATGATCGGATTGATGCAGGCGGACAGATAGAGCATGATGTAGCTGAAGATGTGCAGGCTGGGATGCTCCACATCCTTGTCGGCCACCTTAACAATCGTGATGGGCAGATAGCAGATGACGAACGACAAGAATATGGCCAACACCATTTTGGTAATGCGCCATTCGTTGCGCTTGGCGCGCACCTCCCGCTGATCCTTGACCCGCGACTGCGGCGGCTGCTTGCCCACAGCTGCGATCGCCTCGGGCACATCCGTCGAGTAGCTGCTGCTGCTGTCGGTGGACACACGACTGGCCGCCGGCTGCACTTGGGCATCCTGGCCCGTGGGAGACGCGGCCGTACCTGCCACTGGCCGCAAATTGTTGGGTATGGAGTTCTGTTTGTTGGCATGCCGCTTGAGCCGCTGCTCGGACTTGTGGACCACCCAGAAGATTTTCGCATAGCAGGCTATGATCACCAGGCAGGGTATCACGAACGCCGTTATGAACAGCGTCGTCTTGCTGCTGTGCCCATGGGCGTCGCTCATTATGGAGCACGTCTGCAGGCGGGCATCGTAGCCGAAGCGACCCCACGCCCCAAGCAGCGTCGGCAGCTGCATTCCGTAGGAGACCAGCCAGCAGGCGGCGATCATGATCGCGATCCAGTGGCGCTTATAGATCCGTGCATAGCAGCCATGGTGGGTGATCATCACGTACCGATTGATCGTGATCATCGCGATGCACAGCAGCGAGACCCCAATATTGCCGTACTGAATGAACGGGATGAGCCGGCAGAGCACCGGGCCATGCCGCCAGGTGCCCTGGACAAAGCGCAGACCCTGAAAGGGCAGCACCAGGGCGCAGAATAGCAGATCCGCTATGCAGAGGCTGTTTCAAAAATAATTACAGGGTATTTAGAAGTGAGTGCAAATCAACTGCATTCAATTAACGAATGACATTAATAAATTAACAAATTAAGCAAGAGTTTGAACCACTGAGTTTGCACCAAGCGAGTTCAAATCCCAATTTGCAATTTATCTTCTACTATGACGCAAAACTTTGGCGTAAAAACGTTTGTGTTTATCGTAACATATTTGCTAGTTGGCACATTTGAGTAGGGAACAAATCTAGCCCGATTTTTCTGTATGGAAATATTGTTAGCTTACAATATTTACAGTAGAACGGGCAATTATTGAATTATAAATTGAAGTCATACAAAAAGGTTGTAAATATACGAGCACAACCTTTCTTTTGCAGCCCTCGAATTAATGCTCACACACTCTCTCTTTCTTCCTCGCTCTCTCTCTCTCTCTCTCTATCTCTCTCTCTCTATCTCTCTCTCTCTCTCTATCTCGCTCTCTCTCTCTTTTCGTCACATAACAAGTTAAGTTGGCTGCGAACACTCGGTTCGATCGATGCAGCCCTCGAATTAATGCTCTCCCATTCTTAACTTTAACACACTCTCTCTCTCTCCCCCCTCTCTCGCTCTCTCTCTCTCACTCTCTCTCTTTTTGTCACATAACAAGTTAAGTTGGCTGCGAACACTCGGTTCGATCGATGCAGCCCTCGAATTAATGCTCTCCCCTTCATAACTTTAACACACTCACATAACAAGTTAAGTTGGCTGCGAACACCCGGATCGATAACCCAGTATCAGATAAATGTTTTTTTTTTGCGTTAAAATTATATAATGAATATTTAGTCAAATATATTTGATTTGTTGCCAATTATAAGGCCTTTTCAATTCACTTTGATTAGCTTAATTAAGTAAATTAATTTCGACATGTTTTGTTTATAGATTTGAGCCTACCTGATGATAAAGGCGGCGGCCACATTGCGCACCTTGGGGCACTTGAGGAGCGCGACAACGGTTAGAAAGTTGCCGCAAATGCCGACGATCATGATCAGAAAGGTCATGATCGCCGCAAAGGTCAACAGCGATTGCGAGAAGCTGCAAATGATAGAGAACAAAATTGTATAAAAGGCTTCTTCAAAATCTACGGCATTTGGTTAGTGGAGGCGATCGCAGCGCTGATCCTTGAAGTGATCGTGATCGACCTATAGCCCGCCGTCTCCATATCATATCTGCAGTCGCAGTCGCAGTCGCAGTTGCAGTTCCGCTGGCCAAGAGACGCCAGCGATTGTTCAGAGCCGATCCTCTGGACGATCGTTTGTGGTTGAGCGTGTGGCCCGCAATCTGCTTGTGTTGAGCGGCGCTTGAAATGGGCCGCGTAATATTAACGATCGGTTATCGGACCTTTCACACTGCGCTATAATTAACCAGCAGCTGGCGCTGATAGGGTCGAGGGCAACCTACCCGCTTTCGTCGACAGCATCCAGGCCGCTCGCTGGACCCGTCGGTGCCGCAGACAGCATATCATTATCGCCATAGCCCAGGCTCGGACTCGCAGTTGTGTCGTCATTCATGCTGCAAGAGATAAGGCGAGTTCAGCGAGAAACAGAGAGGCACATGACATTTTTTAGCTTGGGGCAGGCTCCAATTCTGTTTAGCTCTACCTGATCAGGTCGCCCAGCCAATTGCCTGCTTAACCCTTAACTTGTTACCCAGAAAAAAAAAACAACAACAAAAAGCAAGAGAAAAAAAAAACACAACCGATCGAACGACAACCGAGCACGGCCAACTGCCAACTGGCAACTGGCAGCTCAACTTCGGTGCAACCCGGGGGCAGTACCGGGCCGTACTCCACCCCACACCCTTCCACCGCCACCCCCTTTTGTGGCGGCACCCGTTGGCGACTTTTGTTTCCTTTGGACTACAATAAATTAGTGTCAATTAAATAATTTAAAGAGGTCAAACACAGCACGCTGAACACATCTCTTCAGCTGCGGGTGCAAAGATCAGCGCCGAACCTTAATTAATTGAGTGTGCTTCGAGTCAGCACCACATCGCATAATATATATATATATATATATAAATGTATACTCATATCTGTATATGCATGAGACATGCCGGAACAATTTTCAATTAACTTTTTTTTCTCAGTAGTAGCTGACGCCCAGTTAAATATGACACAAATACCGCCTAGCTGTAGGTCGGTAGAGCACGAGATACCCTGTAGTTAGGTCTACTTCACAAACACACATAACTCGCCACCTGAAGAGAGACTTCTATATAGCGCAAGGTGGGATTATTTTGCTTTAACTATTATTTAGACATTGCGTATCACCAATTTATCGCTTTTCTATCTTCCTTCTAGCTAAAGGTATACTGACAACCCTGACACAAAAGCTTTTCAAAACTTCTATATAGCGCAAGATGAGAATATTATGCATTAACTATTATTTAGACATTGCGTATCGCCAATTTATCGCTTTTCTGTCTTCCTTCTAGCTAAAGGTATACTGACAACCCTGACATAAAAGCTTTTCAAAACTTCTATATAGCGCAAGGTGGGATTATTTTGCTTTAACTATTATTTAGACATTGCGTATCGCCAATTTATCGCTTTTCTGTCTTTCTTCTAGCTAAAGGTTTACTGACAACCCTGACATAAAAGCTTTTCAAAACTTAACTCAAATCTAACCTATCTTAACTAAACGCCTTTTCATTCATTTAGTATGCCATGTATCTGTGAAAAGCATAATTTATTGTCTGTGGAGAGGCCCAAGAGTTTCGCCCAGCTATCGCCAATTTATCGCTTTTCTATCTTCTTATATAAACAACCCTGACATAAAAGCTTTTCAAAACTTAACGAAACATTTTGATAACCAATTTTTGACGCTTTTTCATTAATTTAATATTCCATATAAGTATTTTTCATGCGAAAAATCATTAATTATTGTCTGTGGAGCGGCCTAAGAGTTTTGCCCAGCTATCGCCAATTTATCGCATTTTTATCCTCCATCAGGAAAGATCAATAGGAATATAAATTTACGCCAGTATCAAATCACGATACAACAAAACATTGAAATTATAGCCTTGTATTTGAAGCACTTTATTGTTTACGCAGCTTTTGTATTTATTTCCTTTTTCGAATGTCAGCGACAACATGAGACGAGGCTGTCGCGAATGCGTACAGGAATGTGGGAACCTAATCTGATGTTCTTTAATATTACTGAGAGGCTGACGTTTCCGGAATTATTGGTATATGGTTTATGAGGTGATAAGTTCTGCACTGCGAATTATTTCCATTTCTATTTATACTAGTTTTAATTCAACAATGTTCATTCTTCGTTAAATTCATATAGTTATCATATATATTTAAATTGTTACAATTTGATAAGCCTAATACCAAGAATTCGCTGGATCAGTAGCTTTCTCAGGAGGAGGAGGAGGAGAACAGAGGATCGTTGGATCGTTAGAATAAATGAGTCCCTGACAGGTGAAACGATCTGCTGCAGATCAGTAGTATATATGTTCATTAACTACGTATACGCAATATCTGAACAGTAACAATTTAACCTTTACAACTGAGGGATTAGGCACATCGTTAGATTAGGCAGACAAATGTTACGTATACGCCATGTCCAACACCCTAACGAGGCTGTCTAGTTCTAGCTAGTTTTCTTTGCGATATATACATGTATGTATATGTACATGTACTTATCTTATCAGCGTAGAGAACTCACCTGGCACTCTGGTGTGGCACATGCGATTGGTATGGCTTGCGGGTTAGCCGAGTAGACAGACAGCTTGTCCCAGCTGTGCTGGCATTCACGATCCGAAGGCCGATCACTGATCACTGATCACCGATCACCGATCACCGATCACCGATCACTGGATCGTTAGCAAATCACAAATCACGAATTTAGTCGACCCGCTGTCCTTATCAGACATCGGTTTGTTTATTATTTCACGTAATCGCAGCTGTTAGAGAGCAAATTTCGCTGCTTTGCGTCTCAAAGTCAGAGTCAGAGCCCAGGCGCGTTCAGGTGCTTATGAGTAATAACTGAGCCAAACTTCGCTCAGGTGAACTAAACTGAACTGAACTGAACTGAACTGAACTTAAGCCAGCTCTGAGCAATGTAAACAGTTAACGATTTGCGCTCGCTGTTGCCGCCGGGTTATTCACGAATGCTGAGCGCATTGAGTAAGGGGCAGGGGGCAGGGGGCAGGGGGCCTGTCGGATGATTCAAAATTGCGGCAACGAGCGTTCGCGATCATGACTAATACACTTGGGATTCAAGCATTTTGCAGACTTTCGCATATTCAGGTAAAAATGTTGCAAGCACACACAACACACGCACACACAAACGTATTTGTCACGTTATGAGAACAAAAAAAAAAAATCAGCTACAATTCTTCAAGGGAAGAGCGCGATCAAAACAAAACGCACGATAGCAAACTAACTGTAACGGTTAAATGGTGTTCGACTGCGCGCTCGTATATTCTGCGTTTGACTACGACGACTGCACATTATCGAGTGCCCGCTTTTGGGGCGGCAGCTCTATCGTCGTCGCTGTCAATTGATATTCGCCGTTGGCTGTTGACAATTTCGCTCTACAGGCACACACACACACGCACACATACGCTCTCTCTTTCTGTCGCGCGCACGTTTGCTCTCATTGACCGCACGCTCTCTGCTCGCGATTACTGTTGTTGTTGTTATTGTACATATTTGTCAGACAGCATTGCAGAGGGCGGCGGGGGCACATGCGATTGCCGATCGCGTTAGATACTGCATGCATGTTATGTGTGTGTGTGTGTGTGTGTGAGTTTTTGTTTGTATATTGTTTTCATTTTTTTTATAGATAGGCGATACGCACAACGAAACGCGACGCGGCGCGCAATTTACCATTCTCATCAGCAAAGACATATGCAACAATTGCATAGTGAAGCGCATACTCAATCATAAATAAATACATGCATACATATGCATATACTTATACCTACATATACCCCATAAGAATACTTAACTAGAGGGTATCATGTGCCCTGCTCTTTAGACCGTTTAAATATCCTTCAATCGTTACAATTATCGCAGCCGCAATAGTTTCTCTCAGTTAAGCAACACTGAAAAGCATCGACTGGAATATGCAATAAAGTTTTTAATATCTCCAATACGATTGTATGTGGCCAAGCTAGCTGTTAATCTGTTTTTTTTTTTAAGTTTTACTAAACGCATTTTAAAGGGAATTTACCTGCAAATAAGTATGCATGAAATGAGTTACATTAGCTTCAGAAGCATTAGATGGCAACGTGAGCTACATATGTACATATGTATGTGAATGACTGGAATAAGAGCACGAATGAGTGTATTGCTGAAATGTACGCAGGGCTGCATTATCCCTTGGGATTTGCATTTGGTATTTTATGTCAGTATTTGCGATATTGTGCCCTGGTTTTGATGATGTCGCCATTTTAATTTACATTTGCGCTTGCCCAGTTTGTAAAGTTGGTTTGACAAACTTAAATTGAAATTCGAGAGTTTGAACGTTGATTAAAAATAGTTTGTCAATTTGTGATTATTTAGCTCATTGGTGAGTATTCAATGAAATAAAAATAAAGTAATTCCAACGCGTTAAGGACACTAATTCAAATGGGAACTGCCGATTGCTGCCACAGTGTTGCCACCTCGTTAACATTTCAGTTCATTTGCTGAGCTGCAAAAGCTGCATGAAAAGGAGTATTTTTCACTTTGATGATTGCATGAAATGGGAAATTCTAAGAAGAAGAAATTCTAAGTAAGAAGAAATTCTAAGTAGCCCACTGTGCGTTCATTTGTCTCTTCTTTTTCAGCATAAAATCAGTACACCTCATTTGAATTTTTTCGGTCAGCTGCTATTTAAAAATAAAGAAGGAAAAAGGAAATTTTGTTGTTAATAGTTGACCAACGGCTGACAGTATTCATAAATTTGCTGGCGCAAGAATGGATTGGTTAATTCTAACCTCATACTTTCTGTGGTTCTTTTCCCCTTTATCCAATCCGGTTGTGCATATATGGTTAAGACTGCGAGGACCTCAATATAGCATTCATATCGCAGTACCTGATGTCTTCGAACCACCGGACATCGAACAGATTGTTCCGACAGATTTCGTGGAACGCCCAGTGCAAAAGTACTTGAATCCCTATGGAGATGAATTTGAACAACATCTCGGGAATGGCGGCAATATGGACTCCATGCACACCACGCAGGCGCAACAAGCTGAACGGCAGGGCAGAAAGAAATCGCCGCTATTTTGGATCCAACTGAGCAAAAGCTTCAGCATTGTGGCCTACGACAATCCCAGGACCGTCTATCTGCATTATGAGAGAATTTTCGAGGGTGTGAATCGTGTCACCTGGGTCAATCTCAATCTAGCTAGCCAATTGCTTTGGCTGGTCTATTTGCTGTGTCTGGCGGCTGGCGTCGTTGAGATGTTCGCCTATATGCTGTGTGCAGGCTCGGTGAAGTTCCTCAAATGGCTACCCAGCACGATTATGGGGTTATGCTCGTCTCCACAAGTCGAAGGATCTTTGCGACAATTGTTGCCCCAGACGGCACACCTGGAAGCCGTGGCTATGTTTAGAGCACTCCTGGAGATTTATGCTCCCGTTTTAAACCAGCCTGAAACGCCTGTTGATGCCCCGTCGCTGGCAGGTGAATCCGAAAACAATGAAACGTCTGGCGAATCCGACATAGTTTCTAAAATTCAGCAGACGGATAGCGCACGATCTTCCGAATCCGGCGCAAAAAGCGCACGGTTCAGTGACGCCCCACAACAATATGTTGAAAAACCGGATTTGGATCAGGAAAATAGACCGGAAGACATGTCATATGAGACTCTGGTTGAGATGATGGAATTCGAGTTCCAGCTAAGAAATCTGTTTGGCGATGAAAGGCCGTTCGGTCCGGCCTCAGAGCAACATGCTCCAATCACAGATTTGAATATTCAAGAAGTTAACGAGGCATTTCCAGAGACTCAAGACAGCGATTTAAAATTGGAAATCCAACTGGAGTTCAGCAAAGCGCAACAAGTTGTTCTTATTAAATCTGAAGAAAGTTTTTATATTGAGAAAAATGATGAAGAACCTTTCCAGATTGTCGAAACTGAACAACGGAATCGGGACAGCAACATCAAGTCGTTAACCCAGCTGGACTTCCCCGAGGCCCCTCCAAAAAATAATCCATTTGAGTCGAAAGAAGCTTTTAACATAGAAGAAAATGATCAGATATTGCCAGTTAGGACTGCAGATCTCTTACCGATCCCGGATGCTGCTGAAGAACCTCTCAAGGTTGACGATGCCGAGCAGGGGAATGACGTGCGGGTGGGCGGATCCGAAATCCAAACTCAGTCAAATGATTTTATGTCAGTTTCCGACTCCTCAGAACTGTCAATAAACATGCAAGAATCTGAGGAACTTTCCATATTTGAAGATTCTGAAAATTTTGCCTCATACATAGACGGCTCTGAGACATCTTCAGATAAACACGACATCTTGGCAACTAAGCCAGGCGATGTTCCATTTAAGCCACTCGAAATTTTTCATATTGAAGATAATGAGACTTTCCCAGATTCTGTTGAGAAATCTTTTCAGATTGTAGAACCCGAGCTTGGCGATGAGAAACAAGTTGCCATGAGAATTGGATCTAGGAAACCATCAAACAACCAAGATCCCGACGCACAGGCTCAGTTCGATTATATATCAATTCCCGAATTATTGGAATCTGAGGAACTTTCGATAATTGAAGAAACCGATAAGGAAGCAGAGTCGGAATGTTTTATATCAATTGTAGACGGCTCTGAGACATCTGCCGAGATTCAAGATATTGCTTACAATTTCACAGAATCTTTAAAAGATATTCGATTTACAAAAGAAACCTTTTTCATGGATCAAAATGATGATTTATTGCCAGTACAGTCTGCGGATTCAGAACCAACATCAGACCCTGCCGAGGAACCTATAAGGATTGAAGAAACTGAGCAGGTGAACAGGGACGATATCAAAGACTCAACTGAAGCTTTTGCAGACGTTGTTCCATCGAAATCGGAAGGAAACGATGACACATGGCAAGAACAGTTTGCAAATTTATTAAAGATCTCGAATGAGGATTCGTTCAAAGCACACAAAACCGCGCAGGAAGATGACAATTGGGTTAGTGCGGTCGTACGATCTAATCCACTTGGATCTAAAAAGCCATTAAAGGTCCAAGAGCTCGAACCCGCACAAGCACGGACAGATGATTTTGCAGGCTTCGAAGAAACTGTAAGCCAAGTGGAAGCCAACCTTTCAATGGTGCAAGGAATCGATAAGGAAGCGATGTCTGATGATTTAATATCATTTGTAGACTGCTCGGACACATCCTCAGATACGGATGAGAACAACTTTAAACTGGAAACTCGGCTAGCAAATAAGATATTAATTGGTGAAGCCCCACAGCCAGATGATACGATTGGTAGCGAGGTACAGAAAGCTGAGGTTCCTTCCCAAACTCAGCAGATTTCTGAAGAAATCTTAAAACTACCCGAAACCTACGCTGAGTCGGAACTTTCAATGACAACATCTGAATGGTCGGACTTAGACATTGATATTGAAGAAATATTAGCAACACCTCCGCCTCCGTTGTGCTTCCCCAACGCGCCACAACCGGAACTTCCAATTGGGTTTTACGAACAGGTCGATTCCAACGCGACAACTGACTCGATCGCCGGAGCCCAACAGCCAGATGATTCAATAAGTTCAAACATTCCCGACGTTGAATTTAGCTCGGCAACTGACCTCTTCTTGACTGAAGCAACTCAGCAGCTCCATATGACGGACGCCCCACAACCATATCGAAGTATTTCCGCCGTCAAGTTGCGCTCAAGTTTTCCTAGAGACCAACAACCGGCTGTGTCAATATGGCCAGGAATGGAATTTGGTGCTGCGAATCCAGGAACTGGACCACCTGTTCCAATATGGGCAAATGTTCCTGAGGTAGAATTATCTTCAGCATCTAGTATGTCGTTGACGGAATCCCTACAACCAGCTTCAAGTATTTCCGACGTGGAATTCCGCTCGGTAACTCAGCTGTCCTCGCCTGGACCAGATCTTCCACTTGAGCCCTACAGTTCTACATTTAAGCCAGTCGTCGATTCACGATCGGCAGCTCTGTCGGCCGACCTATCCAGCGATATTCCCGACGTAGAACTTTTTTCAGCAGGTCGGCTGTCCGTCCCTGCAGACCCACAGTCCGAGGTTTCACTTCTGTCCTTCGAACGCTTGTTTCGTTCAGTTGCCAAATCTCGTTCGGCGAGTCAGCTGAACAGCGCTCGGGTCGCCGAAACAATTGTTCCAAAGTGGACAGGCAAAGCTTCCAGCATACCCGACGTCGGATATCGTTCGGCCACTCGGCTGTCCAGCCGTGGGATCTTCGCCAAATTGGATTCTTCTAAGCCAGTTGCCAGATCAAGTTCAGCAGCTCAGTTGGCGACTCGTGGAAGCCCAGAATCAGAACCAAGCTCTAACGAATCCTCATGCATTTCCGGTGACGAGCTACATTCGCCAATTGTGCTCTCCTTTCTTGGAAGACCGCAGCCCGATGTCGCTTCACATAGGTCAGACGCCGAACTCCCATCCGATAATCTGCCACTTTTTCCTGGAGTTCCGGAACCAGTTGCGCCAATGTGGTCAGACGAATCTTTGAATGTTGAAGGATACGATTTTGATGGTGTGATCGGAACAATATTCTGTTGGTTACCGATTTAAATGCTTTTCTCTCTTTTTTTTTTTTGGATTTCAACCCAAAGTTGAGAATATCGGAGCGTACGGTGATGATCTACAAGAATACATCATGAGCTATGAACCGGGTGGTAGTCCAGCTGTGGAGCCCATGTCCACCGAATCCGAGCAGGAAGTCATGGAAACGGATGATCTGGAGAATCCAGATGGCACGGTCCAAGTTACCCTCTTTCTGCCCGATGGCCAGCCCTATTTGCTGAACTGCCGGCGCTTGGATCATATTTAGATTAAGATCAAGCTTTTTACTAGCTACTAGATAAGTATTTCTCTTTCCCATATTTGATAATCCTCCTTTTAAGACGAATTTTTCTTTTCTAGTTTTAGTTATTCCAGTTTTGGTTTTCTGCATGTTTTTCAAATCTTTTATAATTTCGTTTCGATTAAATTTAACTGTATATCTAACTTGTAAGTGTATTTTTTAACGGACTTATCTTTGATATGTACATATATTTTGAAAAAAACTTAGAAAATTTAGAAGAATAAGGTGGCCTTGCGTATTCTTTTCCACACGCAACGGTGGAAAATCGATGGAAATCAATTGCATGCAACTTTTTCGTTCAATCCATCTAATCGGTTTTAAACGTACAAAATAAAACCTAAGATTTGAGAGCTTAAGTAAAATCCCTTATATTAATATCGAATTGCGATATCGTATAACAGTCCAATTTAGTCTGTTTCAAGATATTCTAGTCAGATTCTACAGTACAAGCTGCAATTATTTTCTGAAAACATCGTAACACCATAATATTTTGCTCGAAAATTGTGTTCCTGGTTTTTTTCTTCAAGATGTCAACTTTATTTGGCTATATGAAAACACTCTGAACCGAACATAATGTGGTCTTACTCCTTATTAATACCATACTCCTAAAGCAATATACCCTATATACTATTCACGTATACTATATAATCTATCCGTCGTTCTATTCAAGTGCTCTTCAGACTAGGATATTCCTGGAATATTCTTAAGATAAAAGAGTTTCTTTTTGGAGCATATACCCTATATATTACTTAAGTATACTATATAATCTGTCCGTCGTTCTATTTAAGTATTCCGAAAAAAACAAAAAAACAACAACAACAATAACAAATTTGATCTTTGTCTAGTTCACTGATTTGTGCGTTCACTGTACTGTGACTGTCTTTAAGTACCCGGAATTACACGCATTGCTTCAATTGATATTGATAAGGCCCGGCAGCAGGGAAGGGGTGGGGGCAACGGGCAACGAGGGTGGGGGGATGGGGGAGGGGGTAAGGGGCGCTGCGATTTCGGTTTCGGGTTCGTCTCTGGCTTCGGGTTGCTCCGCCAAGTATTTCACAAATGTTTACACAAATCGAGTAGACGGCCGCGTTTGTTTATGCTGAGAAGAACACGATCGCTTATAGATATATATTCAAGTGTGTGTGTGTGTGAGAGAGAGAGAGAGAGAGTGTGTGCGTATCTCTTTAATTGCATAGAGCTCAATGCTTTGCGATGGGTTTCTGTTTGCTCGAAAGGGCATCTGATTAGCGGTCAGTTGGCTATCGATGCCAACCGCATATCAAAGTATATATAAATATAAATACACTATCTATATATATACATACATGAGTGTGTGTGTGTGTGTGTGTGCACACATTTCACACACTCTTGAGCTCTTGGCTAATGAGAGCCGCGGGCGTTGCCGGTCAATTTTCAATTGTTGCCAAAGACTTTTTCATCCGACTCAGTTGTACATGACACTCACACACACACACACACACACACACACACACACACGCAAGACTCTCACTCTCACTCTCACTCTCATTCATTTGCCCATTGCCATACCCCTTGCCGCTGGCCCATTCGCTGCGCTCTACTCAATGAACCCGCACCCAGTCCAGCGACCGATATGTCAACCCCCCCCCCCCCCCCCCCCCATACTCCTCTCTGCGCTCGGTGACTATTTTTTCTGTCTTTTTTTTTCTTCAATGTTTGCTTCATTAATTAATTAAGATGACGCTGGCATTAAACGAGCGGACGAGGGAGACCGTTTGCCACCCGGCTACTGGCAGTTCCCAAATCGAATCGATCTGCTCTGACGCCATCGTGCTCGGTCGCCCGGTCGCTCGGTCGCCCGGTCGCCCGGAGACCGCTTGTGGGTAGGTCACGGGGGGAGGGTCACGCGGGGCGTACATTTAGCTGGAAAACGGGCCCAGTCAGTCGCTGCGGTTACACATGGAAGGGCGTAAGATATTCCCATGTTCTCTATAACTAAAATAGACTCTTTGTATATATACATATACGCTATAAAACGCAATATACCTTATCGTTATTAAGTTCCTTATAAATACCATACTCCTATAGCAATATACCCTATATATTACGCAAGTATTCTATATAATCCATCCGTAGTTCTATTTAAGTTCTCCTCAGACTTGGATATTTCTTGAATATCGTTTAGATAAAGGAGTTTCTATTTGGGGCATATACCCTATATGTTAATCACGTACGCTATATAATCCATCCGTAGTTCTATTTAAGTACTCCTCAGACTGGGATATTCCTGGAATATTTATCAGATAAAAGAGTTTCTATTTTGGGCATATACCCAATAAAAGTACTCTATACTTTAATTTCTTTGTTGTTCCTAAAATCGAATACCCTGTAATGGGTATATTTTCTTTAATGCGGTTAGTATGTGTGTATAAATACCGAGAAAATTTATGCTCTTTCTTTTGATTGCGGTCTTAGCTAGCATGTCCAGCCATATATTATCCGCAGCCAGGCGGAGGAAGCGACTCGTTGGTGCATGCCCATTGCCTGGAACTCGAAAGAATTGAAAACATTCTATTTGAAAATCGTGAGAGAGCTAAAAAAAAAAGCCAGGGCAGCGGCCAAATCAAGTGTGTTTATATTCAACTTTAGGCGTTTTTTCGACTATGCAGGCAGCCCTGGTTTCTGTTCCATTTGAACAAATTCTGAAAAAGAAACAATACGAAAAGGAAAAAAAAACAAAAAAAAAAAATTTTAGAAAAGGCCAAAATATAAGAACAATGTAAACAAAGCGCTCCGCTCATTTCAAATTACCCGATGATGAAGTCAATTGTTGTATACAATAAAAACAAAAAAATTGTTGTTGTTTTCCTTTTCGAAAGTTTCGTATCGTTTCGTTCGCAATACCCTGTAACCATAAAACTCTAGATGAGCGCAAGGATATCAGTTGATCAAAGAATGTATAAGATATATTTGAAAACGATGAGCAAACGCACGATCCCAAATCCATAGCTTAAAGATCTCTGGCAACATTGGAACTAGAGTTTTGAAATTTGATTTTTAGATGAGAAACAAGTCCTCGCTTCAGTAGCTTAAAGTAACATATAGTATATGAATAGCCCACTTGTGTTATGCCGACTTAAGTATAGGTCTCCCTCGATTGATCTTACCCAGATAACTCGGGAACTGGCTGAGCTAGAGTTGGGCCATGTGGTATGCGGATAGCCAGAGGATTTTGGACGTTTACTACAAATGTTTCATAAGGTTTAAGTAGAAATTTCTCGAGCTATATGAAATGAATAATAATTCGAGCGCAGGGTATCTAAGCAGTCGGGCATGCCGACGCAAGCAGCTAACAGAGCACACTTGATGCTGTTGTTGTATTTGTTAATTTCTTAGCTGGATGCTTGGCTATTTGGGCTAGTGTGTGGATATATAGAATTTAGTTTAGTACAATAATCGGCGCAGGAACGAGCTCGTCATAGTTCGAAACGCCGCATTCCTTGGCTGCGCGCACACAGATAGCCACCCACCCACCAATCCAATCCAGAGCAGAGGAACACGCGACAAACCAGTCACAGCTGGGCGTAGCATGATTCACCAGTTGGATAGCCAGACGGAGGGCCAGATCCGGCTGCTCGGCGTGCCAGGTGCCGTTGCCCAGCCGCTGGCATTGGCCCGCAAGGCTGGCGGCGCCAACAGGAGCAGCAGCAGCATGGATCAGCTGACGGCGCCGGAGAACGAACTATTCGAGGGCTATTCGGACGAGCTGCTGACATTCGCATGGATCGCGTGCATTGCGTTCATCATTGTCGGTGTGCCCGGCAATCTGTTGACCATTGTCGCCCTGTCGCGCGGCAAACAGACGCGCAACTCGACGGCGATATTCATCATAAATCTATCCTGTTCGGATCTGCTCTTTGGCTGCTTCAATCTGCCGCTGGCCGCGTCCACCTTTAAGGAGCGCGCCTGGACGCACAGCGATCTGCTGTGCCGCCTCTTTCCGCTGCTCCGCTATGGCCTCTTGGCCGTATCCCTGCTCTCCGTCTCGCTGATCACCATTAATCGCTACATCATCATTGCCCATCCGCGTCAGTATCCACGGTAGGTTTTGCGCCCATGTACCTTGATTCTACTCTCTCTCTCTCTCCCTCTCTCCTCTCCTCTCTCCTGCCGCCCGACAGCATTTATCAGCGTCGATATTTGGCGCTCATGGTGGCGGGCACCTGGCTGGTGACGTTCTCGATTATGATACCGACGTGGCGCGGCGTCTGGGGCCGGTTTGGCTTGGACACCAGCATCGGGTCCTGTTCGATATTGCACGATAAGTACGGTCGTTCGCCCAAGGAGTTCCTTTTTATGGCGGCCTTTATGCTGCCCTGCATCTGCATTGTCATCTGCTATGCAAGAATCTTTCTGCTGGTCCGTCAGGCGGCGATGCGGGCGGGTGCCAAGAGCTCCGAGCTGGCCATAACGCCGCCGATACAAATGCCCACGCTAGCACAGAAGCCGCCCGTTGCCGTTGACAAGCCAAAGGATAAAGGCAAGGCCAAGAGCAAGGATAAGCGGAGGGAGCAGGACAAAGATGAGGATTCCGGCACATCGCGTCCCTTTGTTGTCGCCGAGAGTCTGGCCTATATCGACGACAACGCCTCCTCGGAGAGTTTTCCCATCTCGTACAGCATCAAACAGGAGGCGCCTATCGATGCCAATGTCGTGCTCCAGGACAATAATCTCGCCAATAACAAGCATTCGGTTTCTGGATCCGCTCCAGCAACGGGTTCTGCCACTGCCGATGCGACAGTCAACAAATCCCAGACCCAGCCGGAGCAGGGCCGCAACTCGTAAGTAGCCTGCAACTATATTTAACATGCACTGTAAACTTACAACCAACTTGCAAATCACAATTTGAACCTTTGACCGAAACCCAAAAGACTTAAGACAGAGAGAAACGGGCATCACATCTTTGATGTCTCGTCGATTTGAAGAATTGAATATATATATTCAACTTTCTCTTCAGAAATTCCATTCGAGATAGACCCCATTGTAAAACTAAGATAATAGAAGAACATACAGCTAGATTTTTTGGAAATTTTGTATCTTACCTATCGTTATCTAAATCAATTAATATTCCAACTTTTGTTGTTGTTTCCTTAAGATCACGATCAAACCGAACAATAAATTATGTCTGCCTAGTATTATCAGATAGGGGTCAACGCTTACGGTTCAGTAAGTCGTAGTCGTATCTTTGCCAGATAAAAATATTGAAATTTACATTTTGCATTCAAATTTTGTTGACTCTCGGGAATTGTGCAAATATGTATTTGTTTGTTTGCGAACTGTATAACCCATAATCTTACCCCCCTCTCTCGCTCTCTCTCGCTCTATCGTGTTGTTGCCATGCGTCTGGCAGAAAGAACCCAATCACCACATCGCTGCGCACTTCGTTCACCCGGTTCAGTCCACGCAAATCGCACTATGTGTCCATGGGTAATACGTCGAACGCGTCGTCGATCTATCCGGGCCGGATGAGCGTCAAGGATCGGCGACTGCTCAAGATGATACTGGTGATATTTGTGTGGTTTGTCATCTGCTATCTGCCCATTACGGTGGCCAAGATCTGGAAGAGCGCCAACGATGTGCACGTCTTCAACATAATGGGCTATCTGCTGATCTATCTGACCACCTGCATCAATCCGCTGATCTATGTGCTGATGAGCTCCGAGTACAGGCGCGCCTACTGGAATCTGCTGCGCTGCCACCAGTCCGAGCAGCAGCAGCAGCAGCAGCGGGCCCTCAAGAAGCATCTCGAATCAAATCGGGCGCTCAAAACGTGATCCATGTGGCAGTCGAGACGCATCCCGAGTTCCGTCCCAGCAGTGAATATCCATATACATACATACATACATACATATATATGCTATGAAGAAAGGTTTTTCCAGAAAAGGTGTGACCGCATTATTAAAGGGGAATACATATACCCATACAAATCCATATCCATATCCATATCCATATCCATATCTGTATCCGTTTCCGTCTAAAAGCTTACTTTTATATTGAAGCTTTCTAGAGCCCGTACATTGATATACCTATGTATATTATAAAAGATATGACCGTATACTAACTGGCCTAGAAATCCATATCCGTACGCCCATTTATACGCGTATATAGTGCTATATAGTATGCCCTGATGGCATACAAATCCACCTGCATAACCGTTAAACTTTTATGCATCATAATATAGAAAGATTATATCTCTATATATAAATAATATAGGGTCACACCTTTTGGTATGATATATATCATACCTATAGATGTCAAATGTTACGCATATCCATATTTTCATTTACATATACATATATATCCACAAAATACGATAAATCCCATATAGAGATATATATGTTATATATGTGATATATAGACGATTTATATAGTTATCAGACTGAATGACATACTTATTTGTCATTCAGCTAGATAATTGTCTAGTTTATTCGATATACATATCATATATAGGCTCCAAGTCGATAGCTTTATTGAATATGGATATTGGATATGGATATGGATATGAATATCGAGTTAAGGTCGCTGCTAACTTTTTTTTTTTGTGTAACAAAGATCGATAAATTGAAAAAGTCGGAGCGTGTGATCGAAAAAGTATATTGCATTTTATACCAAATGACTTTTAATATCTGGTTTACATTTGAATTCCATGTTTAAGAACAATCGATGTTTTATTTATTTGCTTGCCGCTAATTATTGTACCAATACACATACATACACATATATGTATATGTATATATATATATATATATATATATATATATATGTATATATAGTATATGCATATGTGGTATATATATATATTTATATAATGTATATCCTATGCCATCAATAAATGCTTCGAATAATTGATATATGTAGTTTTTGACGTTGTTTTGCTTCTTTTTGATTCGTATTTCCTTCTCTTTCTTTTGGGAATTTAGAATCTTGCGTCTAGTACCAGAATATGTGGTATAGCTTATTATATAATTATTATCAATATACATATTGTATATGCCAGTGTGTGAGTGTGTGTGTGTGTGTGTGTGTGTATGCATACGAAACTTGGACTACTTAAGGCTAGTAACACAACTAAATGATCCAATAATCTGGTAATACCTATCGCCAAAACGATAACGATAATCGGTAATCGATTATCGATTATCGATAAATCGTTTCGAGTAATCGCTGAACTGCCAAATGGAACTAACGGATCTCTCTGCCACTCTCTCTCACTAACGGTAATGTATATGTATATGTAAAGCCTATAAACGTGTGTGTGTGTGTGTGTGTGTGTGTATATAATATTATCGTATAATAGTATCGTATATTATATATATATACTATATATATATAGTATGGTATTGTTTGCATGTATATGAATAGAATTATTATAATAATTATTTTACTTTGTTTTTTGTTGTTTAAATAATTATGAATGAATTTCGTTAAATTTGAATTGCGAGCGTATTAAAAAAGGTTTCGCCGCTGACACTCACACGGACTCCAGATGCTCGGATATCTCCAGTATGGGACTCTCGCTGAGCGGCTTGACCAGCGTCTGCCAGCTGGGCGTGAACAGGCTGAGCACCGGCGGCGTCGTTGTCGTTGTCGTCGACTGCGCCCGATACTCCGGCTCGGCATGACCATGAGCATGAGGATGGGCATGGGCATGAGCATGAGGATGAGGATGAGGATGGCCAGGAGCAGCATGATTATGTCCATGCCCATGCACCACATGGCTATTGAGCAGCGCCTGCGATGGTGTCGCTGGTGGCGTTGCTGGCGTCGTGGACGGCGGTGGCGCCGAGCTGCATGCAACCCCAGCTCCAGCTCCAACTGCTGATCCAACTGCAGTTCCAGTTTCGCTGGCCGGCTGGCTGATGTAGGTGGTCTTCAGATTGATTTGGCTGAAGACGTGCGCGCCGGGCATGGTCAGCGAGTGTTGGAGACGCGGCGGTCCGCTGCGCGGCCTATCCAGCATGGCCAGCTCGTACAGATCCTCGGCCAGATGCTGTTCGGATGCGGGCGGCGGCGGCGGCGGCGTACCATGCACATGGCTGTGATTGTACTGGACGTGGCCATGATGATGGCGACCGGCCAGCTGCGCCTCCAGGGCGTATTGCTTCTGGAACAGTTGACGCTTCTGCTGCAACAGGCGATGCTGCAGCAGCTGCTGCTGCAGCGGCGGCTTCTGCATGGGCGACATGGCGCCCAGATGCTGATGATAGATGCCCGGCGGCGGTGGCGGCGGCTGATAACAGCCATGCCCATGGCCAGCATACAGATCGCCGGCCGCCTCCAGCAGCAGGGACGGCGGCGGAGGTGGCGGCGCATACCCAAGCATCTGCTGCTGCTGCTGCTGGTGATGATGATGATGGTGGTGGTGGTTCTGGGTCTGCAGGTGGTGCAGCGTGTGGTGCGGCTTGATGGGCATTGCATAGAATTGACCGTGTGAAAATTGACAATTGGTCAGGCTGAGCTCCTCCAGTCCGAGATGAGCATGACCATGACCATGGGCGTGGGCGTGGCCGTGGGCGAGGCCAGGCGCATACACAGCCGCCTCCTGCTGGAGCTGCTGTATCTCCAGCCAGCCGTGACGCTTGGCCTGCTCGTAGCGATAGCTGCCATAGACACGACTGGCGCCCAGCAGCGAGCTGGAGCTGAGCAGGCCCTGGGCCACCAGGCCGTCGCTGGCGCGGCGCCCCTCACGGAAATGGATGGGCGAACGCTTGTCCGCGAAGGGCGGCGGCGCCGGCGACTGGTTGGGTGGCACCGGCGCCGGTGGCGGCGGCGGCGGCGGCAGCGGCAGTGGTGGATTCACTGCGCCGGGCATGTGGATGCACGAGCTGTGGCTGCTGTACAGTAAACGCTCCGATGAGTGCTCACTGGAAATGGCGGCTGCCGCTGCTGCGGCAGCGGCCAGCATCGAGTTGCTCATACAGGAGGGCAAACTGCCGGCAATGTCCGGCACGGAGGGCAGCACAAAGTCCAGGCTCTCATAGGCGCTGCAGTTGCTCTTGGATGAGCCGCGGCTCAGGTTCTGGCTGAGGCTCTTCGAGTAGCTGCCGGCCAGTACGCCGCTGGAGCTGCTGCTGCTCGCATACGAGCGTGTTCGTGTCGCCTGTACGCTGGTCAGATCCGTCGACGATTGGGAGCCCTCTTTGGCCACCTCGTTGCCCTGATCCGTGTCGCAGCCCTCGTCGGTGCTGGAGCTGCCCTGGGCCAGCACCTTCTTCTCAAAAGTCTTTTTCTCACGTCTGCAGCAGCAACAACAACAACAACAACAACTCTTCATTAGCTTCATTCGTCGGTTTGGAATTACGGATCGGATCACTCACCCGTCTCCATTTGGCTTCGACTCCTGTCCAGATTCCTCCGAATTGCGGCCAGCATCGCTGGCATTGCCATTTGTGGTTGGGGTCTTGCGTTTGGGTTTCTGCCTCGGGAAAGAGTCCAATTAGTAAATAATGTGAACATGGAGGAGGACGTGCTGGCAAGCTAGTTAACCTGAGATGCTAAACATTGCAAATGATTGCTTGATGAAGTTTTACAAGTGCAGCCAAAAAAAAAGTGACCATGGAGGACCTTTACATACGTGTCTACATACGCCTCAATATATTTGGTTAATGGTTTTGAGCATACACAACTGGGATCTAAATGATATATGTGGATGGATATTTAATGTGACCATGGAGGACGTGCCTATGGTGCTATCACTCACTGAACATATATATATATATATATATATATATATATATATATATATATATTGATGACGTATTAACCGAGTGCATCCGGCTGTGAAGATAATGTCAGGGTGAGAATTTGCAAAACCATTTTATATTTAGGGGAAGAACAAAAACTGAACATGGAGGACACTCGTGTGCTCGCTGCGGCAAGCGAAAGGCACGTGAAGGACACGCTTCGAGGATAAACATTAAGTGACTATGGAGGACGCATGCGATGATTATTAGCTAGAGCTGGGCATGCGTTGGATGCATGGAGGTATTGTGAGGGAAATAAATAATTGCATAGAACGTAACCATGGAGGACGTGCTTGGCACATATTATAAGCAGTTCCGATTGTACACACCTCAATGGGCAGTGGACTCTCTTGCAGGGTCTGGAATAGTCGGTTCGCCTCGGCGGACATTTTGTAGCGAAAGCTCTGATTGAGATTGGCGGTGGAATCAAAGCTATTCGAGCTGGACATTGGCTTTATTGTCTTAGTTTGTTCGGCAGTGGGCGTGGCAGCGCACGAATGTTCCATTGTCGCTGGCAGCTGATCGTCCTCCTTCCTCGTATCGGCAATAGCCGTCGACTGCAAGAGATTGGATTGGATTGGATTGGATTGAACAAGACCAGGAGCAAGTACGTTGCATGGACTTACCTGCTGCAGCAGCTGGCGACAATCCTCGGTGCTCTGCTTGATGATATACTCGCTAATGGTCTGATGCAGCTGCTTGGGCGCCGGCGACGACAGATGCCCGGCCGGATGGCCGGACTGCTCCAGCTGCTGGCTGGCATTCAGGAGCAGCTCGCGACACCGCAAATTGGCCAGCGAGGGCAGCGGATGGCCGCTGCTATTATTGTCAATGCTGAGCGAGATGGCAACGGGTCGCTGGCCGGCGGCCATGGTGCGCGGCGAGCTCAGGCTCTGATGGCTGATGCGCGTGGAGACGGCGCAGCTGTTGCCCGCCGACAGTGGTGTATATCTAGCGGGCATGGGCATGGCCATGGGCATGGGCATGCCCGGAACCGGGACCGTGCCCTCATCCCCGTTCAAGTAACGGGCATGAGCATGAGCATGAGCATAAGCATGAGCATGGGCTTGGGCTTGGGCTTGGGCGTGGGCCTGCTGCTTGACCGCATAGTAGGGATCGGCAGTGGATCGTTCGCTCATCAAAACAGTCTGATGGCGGCTAAGTCTTTTGTGTGTCGGATCCTTGGCTAGGATCACGGTGGATATTGTCTTCGTTTGCTGCTGCTGCTGTTGCTGCTGCTGATGCTGATGCAGCTGCAACAGTTGCTGCGTGGGCAGCTGGTCCAGCATCAGCGACTGCTTGCTGCTCTTGTAGAGCAGGCGGCTGGCGGCGCCGCTAGTTTCATTTGGCTTCGCCTGCTCCTTCTTGTGTGAGACGCGATCCTGCAGCAGCAAATAAATGGCGGCCACATGATCGTAGGTGTTCTTCTTAAGGCTGGCGCGCGTCTTATCCGGCCCAATGCCCACATACTCGGACATGATGCGCAATATATCCTCACTGGGCTCCAACACCGCCTGCCGTTCCACACTCAAATTATATTTGGCGATTAGCGCATGCTCCAGTAGCTCGGGGCACATCCAGCGATGCCGCTTGATCTGCTCGATGGTATAGCGACGCGTTGGCTCCAGCACCAGCATCCGGCGTATCAAATGCTCGCACTCCGAGCTCATGAAGAAGGGTATCCGAAAGCGTCCCGACAGCACACGATCCCGCAGGCTCTGCAGCGTGGATCCATCAAAGGGCAGAGCACCGCAGACCAGCACATAGAGCACCACACCCAGGGACTGCAAGTGCAAGTGAGGGTATTAGATTGTAGTCAAATTCTATGTGCATATTTCCTTACCCAAATATCAATTTCGGGTCCAGTGTATTGTTTGCCCTCGAATACCTCGGGCGCGGCATATGGCGGGGAGCCGCACCAGGTGGCCAGCAATTCGCCGGGCTTGAAATGATTAGAGAAACCAAAATCGGCAATTTTAATGTTCATGCTAAAGTCCAGCAGCAGATTCTCCGCCTTCAGATCACGATGCACAATGCCCTTCTTGTGGCAGTACTCCACGGCGGAAATGATTTGCCAGAATTTAAAGCGCGCCGCCGACTCCGACATGCGTCCATACTTGGCTATGTAATCTGGAAGCAAGAGTTGGCGTTTAAGATTGCGAAACTATGCCAGATTTCAGTAAGTGCTTACCAAAGATCTCACCCTGGCTGGCATATTCGGAGACAATGTAAATCATGTTCTTTGTTTCCATCACCTGAAGTGCAAATGATCCAAAGGATTAGTTCTAGCTGTAGCCGGAGCTGGCGGCGCACACTCACCTGATAAAGCTTGATGATGTGCGGATGTTTGAGCTTCTTCATGATCTCCACCTCGCGATAGACCTTCTGCAGGTTTGTATGATCCAGCTGTGATTTATCAATGATCTTGATGGCCACCTCGTTTTTGGTTATGCGATGCCGCGCCAGCTTCACCACGGCAAAATTGCCCTTGCCAATGGTCCGTTCGATATCGTAGAAGCCGACGCGCATCGGCTCCTTCAGCTTGAGCAGCTCCTTGGGACCGCTGCCGCCGCTGGCGAATAGCTTTTGCGCCAAGAGCACATCTTTGCAGCTGGCCAGCGCATCTATGGAGGGCGTTGTCACCGCATCCATTACGCTGCGTGTGCTGGCCAAAATCGGGTCCGCATCGTGCGCCTTATCGTTGGACGGCTCCGGGCCATTCGAATTTGTTGCTTGCGTCTCCACTTCGCGGTCATGTCCATTGGCCAGGGGCGGTTCCGCGGCACTCGCCACCGGCTCCTCTTTGCACGGCGTTGCCACTGAGCCCGTTGCTCCTCCTGGCTCCTTCGCCTTAGCCTCGCATGCGCTCATTTTCCGACTTGGCCAGGCTGCGGCACGGGTTCAAACGTTGCAGCTGCGGCTGCTGTTCATGCTCCCGGCGCATGCAACTGGCACTCGCTGTGGCTGTGGCTGTGGCTTTGACTATGGCCACCCCTATAGACGCCTCAATGCGCGCTCCTCCATTGCAGCGCACGCTGCCTGCGACGACAATTGACAACAGCGAACAAAAATTCATAAAAAAAAAAAGAAAAACACAAATAAATAAAACGAAAACAAGTTCACAAATTTCTATACTCTGATAAGAGATTAGCTCACACGCACGCACACCAGCACACATAGAGTACTCCCGTGTATGTGTGTGTGTGTGTGAATGAGTGCGCGCGTGTGTGTGTTTTCGTATGCAGCATAGAAAAATCAATAAGCAGCCGTCGCGCGTCTCATAAATCTCTCCTTGGCTGGACGCCGCCTTCTCACGTGTAGCTATTACACATACACGAAGATTACGCGCACACACACGCACACACGCACATACACGCGCACTCACACAGCTCTAATGAGCACACAAATTACCGTTAGTTTCCGCAAAGTATTGCAATTGTTTTTGGTGTTCAGCTCTCAAGTCGCGCTTTGTTTGATTTTTGGTTATGCCTCTTTTTTTTGGTTTTTTTTTTTGATTTTTCGGCAAACACTTTTGCATGCCCCGCAACTTGTCCAGTTTCTCCACCACCCCCGCAGTCAACCAATCCAAGACGGAGACGTTGCCAACACAACCGACGACCAACGACCAACGACACAACAAGGCAACGCGTTTCTGCCGTCGATCTGACCCCCGGAAAGTGCAGAGCGGCCAGCGCAACCAAAAAACCAAAGGCGAAAATCAACAACAACAAAAATGACGAGCGTGCTTTAAGGGTTGCCAAAGTTTCGCAATGCGGCTGCGACTGCTGCTGCCCGCTGCGTCTGGCAACCCGGTGGGGCCAACGGCCATGCGCATGCGCATGTCCTGTGGGGGAGTTCATTCAAATCATGGCGCCTTTATCGTTTGCAATTTATCAGTTATCGCTCATCCATCTAATTTATATGAGAAGTCGACATACAAAAATTAATAATATAAATTAAATAAGCACCATAAAAAGAAAACACCTTTTGGTTTCCACGCTCTTAAAGGCCATTAACAGATGGGAGGGCCAGAACTATGCAATTAAATAGATACATCTAAATACATATTAGTTTTTTAATGACAAAAAAGTATCAAGGTAATGTGTAATGAATATAGTTTATATTTAATACGATTTCAACAGATTATAATAGAGGCGACAAACAGAAAATTTGACATTTACATAAAAAGTGTTCAGTAAAATATATATTAATGCATATATTTTTTTCAAAAGAACTCGGCGGAGTACATTTAGTTTTGAAAAGGAATGAGACAGACTTTTAAACAAAAATAATGTGGTGATCAGGTTTTATAGACAAACTGCTAAAAAAAAATTGGCATTAACAGTTTTTGGGATACGAAAAAAAGAATCCGCATGTTCATGAGATGCCTAAACGTTAAATGTCTAGATATGCATTTGCTAGTTCTACTTTACACATTTAATGCAGTACTTGGTACATTCCTTGAACAGGCCCATTAGCTCCATACAAAATACACGTTAGCTATGTGCACATATTGGCTTATATTCAAAATTGCATTACATTTTATGGAACAGGTTTCAAATAATAATAATAATAATAATGCTTTTGTACAGTGGAACAAGTGCATGATGCCTGGCGGAAACACACATATTTTACAACAAACAAACAAACAAACATTTCAAGTCTAAACATCTTTCGCTCTGCCTCTGCCTCTGTCTCTGTCGCTCTCGCTCTTTCTCTTTTGCTGCGCATACAGCTCTCCATCTCTTTCCGTTCGTCTGTCTATCTCTTTCTGTGTATGCTGTCTCGCTTTGCAGAGCATTGCCCTAGTCATTTGAGGGCAAACGCAAAGTGCAAGCTTTAAAAAACGAATTCGGCTAGTTGATTGTGCCATGCGCTGTTCCCTTATTCAGAATTATATAAATATATATATATATGTATATATATATATAAATGAATATATACATATGTCTAATATTTATAATAGTTATATACATAGACCGATGTACAGACAAAACTCGACACTATACGAAACGCATTAAAAGCTTAATAAATAGGCTAAAACGAGCTGCACAGGTGCCCAGCACAAAATCTGAACAGCCTTTAGTTTGGAGCACCTGATGGTTCCCAGTTGTCGCTTGCCGAGCGACATGATTTTCGCCTTGGTCTGGTAATTGTATTAAATTCAGTTTTGATTATTAATTCACTTCTTCGGCAGCAGCTCCGCGGCAGCAGTAGCAGCATTGAAGGCAGCGCTGGCGACTGGCGTGTTGGCGGTCGCGATGGCAGTGTCTTCACCGTTTCCGCCGTAGCAGCGCCGCTTGAAATCGCTCAACAAATCCGGACGCTGCTGCAGACCGTGCTGCGGGTCAATGTTTGACGATTGTGTTGTATTTCTGTGCGCAAGAGATTGGCAACTTAGTTCGTGTGCTTTGTTGGGGTCAGAGGTGGTTGCTAATCGGTTTCACTTACCTTGTCTTGGTTAGCACCGTGCAGCCGTTCTCCACAAGCATGTTGAGGGAGTAGAGCGTGGCCAGATTGAGCAGGCTATCCTGCTCGTAGATCTCAATGTCGGGCAAACGTATTTGGGTCTGGCGGGAATCCTGCAGAAAGCGTGCCAGGCGCTCGTTAACGCTCAGCTTAATGCTGAAACCTGGACGATCGCCATTGATGCGCCGGCAGCCGGCGCGTATTTCGCGCACCTCCTGTATCTGCATGGGCGGCGATGACGACAGGAATGGATTTGATGTCTCGCCGGACATCTCGCTTTCGATCTGCTTTAGCGCCGGCATGCCATTCATGCTGGTCTCCGTGTCAAGGCAGATGTTGACGCCAATGAAGCCAACGCTGCGATTGCCACGATTGGCGCCGCCGCCACAGATCTCAATCGGCTCCGAGCTGGCGGCCGGCTGAAAGCGTGTCAAATCCTGGAAAGCATCCGGTAGGGGAGGAGACTGCGAAGTGCCGCCGACGCCGCCGTAGCTGTCAGCAAAAGTCATTGTCGCTGTCGCCTCCGTGCCGGACATAAGCGTATCATCCTCGCCAATGGTATCATCGGAGCGTATTTGGGGCAGCAGCGATTTCTTGGTCAGCTTGCGCTTGGGATCATATTTGCCGCCGGGACCAAACTCATTGCCGGGCCAATCGGTTAGCTCGTCGTCGCCCTCGCGATCCGTATCGTGCAGCCGATGGCCATCCTCGCTGTCCGATGAGGAGCTCAGCGAACTGGAGCTAAGAAAGTCATACAGCTCGGTGCAGTCCATCGACTGCACCTGCAGTGGCTGCGGTGTTTGGCAAAAGCGGCGTCTGCGATGCGCCTTCGTGGAGCCGCCGCCATGCATATGACCATAATGCGATTTCTGGCGATGGGCATGATAGTCCGCAACAGCGCAGTCCAAAGACAGCTGCACCGGCAGCTTATCTGAAGTATTTAACAGCGTCTCAATATCGCTGACAGGCACAAGCGTTTCCGTACTAAAGTCACCAAGGCCAGCGGCGCTGGTTGCACTCTCAACCAGCTCCAAATGAAGATTGGCTGCTGCCGTCTGTGGCTGTGCTTCCGCCTGCTCGTGCTCCACACCCTCCTCTTCCATGTTCGATGTGTTGTCAGTCTTTTGTGCTTGTTGCGTTTCCGTTTGGGTTTGCGCAATGCGATTTATCTTGGAGAGCAGCCCCTTGTTGAGCGGCAGCAGACGATCGCTGTGCGGCTTCGATGTCGATGAATAGCTGCGGGGCCGCATGCGATGGTACTCCTCGATGTGCGTGTACCGCGGCATGCTCGACGAATGCAATTTGCTAGAGCCGCCGCCGCTGCAGCCCGCGCCAACAGAAACGCCAGCCTCCTGATCATGCTCGTGATAGCGATCGCGATTAGAACGTTTGCGTTTACCGCAAAAAAACAAATTCGAACGATTGCCGCTGTCCATCTTCAGCACACGTTTTCGTATAGTGCCCGTGCCGGTCATGTTGCCGGCACAGCCGCCCAGCATGCCCGGATGCAGTGGCGACTCCGTAAAGCTGTGTGGTGACACAGCCAGATTGCAATCCTTGCTGAATTCAAACTCCATAGACATGCGTTTGATCTTTCGTTTCCGACGCGAGTTCGGCTTGTAGAACCTAAAAACGAAGCGTATTAGATTCGCCTCTGACTAGAGGGCGTGTCTACTCACCGAGCTGGACTGAAATTGGTCTCGTTCAACGAGTCCGACTCGAGGGCGCCCATGCCCATGCGAACAGCTGCGGCTGCATTGAGCATCTTGCCGGGCAGACGCAGCGGCAGCATTGCCTCGGCCTTCTCATCCGAATCGCTCGCAGGCAGCATCATATCATTGTGTGTTTGGGTATCTAGTCCATCGATGTTTGCATTGGTATTCGAGTGGTGGCCGTGTCCATGTCCGTGTGCATTATTCATGGTGTCTGTGGGGCTGCTCGACGAATCTTCGGTTGGTTGTGGCGCACAAGCTGCAGGTGAAGTGCAGGTGAAGTGCAGTGAAGTGGAAGCAAAGTGGTTTTCATGCTGTCAATTTGCCCACCAGCACTGTGGGAGGGGGGCGTGCTGAATATGGCCAATATCTTGGCTCAAATACTTACGCAAATTACCCGTTGATCGAGTTCTTCGACGCGAGCCCCACCTACCAACGCCGCACGCCCTGTCCATGAGCGACGTCTCCTCCAGGGCGAGGGTCAAGTCGTGCGAGAACTGATCCATTTGCACCAGCACACCCGAATTTCAATTGCGTTTCATTAAACTATTGCGTGTGCGTTCGCAAAAAATTTATACAAAAAAAAAACGAATCTAAAGGTAAGCCTCAACAATTGGCAGCAGTTCACTTCGATAACAATATCGATTTTTGCCATTTATCGACAGTATTTTATGTGGGTTTCTCTGCTCTCCCTGCTGACTCAAGGCTGGTCACTTTACGAGCTATGGTGACAGCAAAATCGGTTAAACTCGGAGTTAACTGACAAAATATGTCAATGTTTTCTATGGTGATAATATTGAATATTTTTCAGTCAGCTTAATTGTTCCAAAAATATAACTATTGTGAATTTATATTTATATAATATATATATAGATAAATATTTTTGATATTTTAGTAGGATATTTCTTGACACAATTCTATTGTTTTAATTTAATTCACAAAAAATTAAGTTAATGTTCAAAATAAACTGTACAATGTAGTATTATTCTATTTAAAATAAGCATTTTTTTTCAATTTTAGTAAACCAATTCAGAAATATGATATATACATAGTTGCAGATGGTTTTACGAATAACCGAAATGTATGTACAATAGACAAACCTTTTATTTAATCTGTACAATGTAAGTACTTGGCTGCTAATAACACATAAATTCCTAAAATCAATACGTTTCAAAAGTCAAGCTTCTGAGCCATTTGAATACAGGCAGACATATCGTTACGGCCTAAATTTAATATCCCTTTAAACTGATTTGAAATTATCGATTAATTGTTTTTCAGTGCTGTGCGTTCGAAATAAATGATGGTATCGTTGGTAGTTTTGGTATTTTTGTTTTGCGAATTGCTTTTGTAATGTTTAATGCCGTTGGTCACATTGAGCATTGACACAGTGAAATGCTGAAGCTCATGCTCGAAAATAAAATTTTTTCTTTAAAATTTGCGCTTCAATTTGATTGATTTGACGTAAATTTCGTCGCACACTTAAACTCGACACGCAACAAGTTCCAGCTGCGACAACAGTTTGCATACGCAGCAGCCGCAACTTAGAGTTTTAATTGTGCCGGTTGCCACAAAAAAAAGAAGGAAAAAAACGCCGCTTTTTTTTGTTGCTGTGCGACGTGCTGCTAATTTAGTTTGTTGCAGTTGTTGCAATTTGTTGGAGGTGCTTCGAAAATGAGTCGCCGACGTGCACACGATACCGAAGATGAGAGTTATGGTGAGCTGAGTGTTAATTTTCATATGAAGTAATAAATAATAATTTTGGACCATTTGATGTGCAGACCACAGACGCAACAAGCGTCGTCGCGTCTCAGAGAACCAGGAGATTGAGGATCGTTTGGAGTCCTTGATATTGCGTGTGGGCGAGCGCAGCACCTCGTCGGTGGAGTCGAATCTCGAGGGTCTTGTCTCAGTGCTGGAAGCCGATCTGGGCACATTCCGCTTGAAGATCTTGCGCATTCTGTCCGACTGTGCGGTACGCATGCCCGAAAAATGTACCGTCTACACGACCCTGGTGGGTCTGCTCAATGCTAAGAACTATAAATTCGGTGGCGAGTTCGTCGATCACATGGTGAAAACGTTTAAGGAGTCGCTGAAGCTATGCCGCTGGGATGCGGCACGCTACTCGCTACGCTTTCTGGCCGATCTGGTCAACTGTCACGTCATCTCGGCTACAAGTCTGCTGCAGCTGCTCGACACAATCATCGATGTGTCCAACGAGGACACTGTGCCGCAAGTGCGACGCGATTGGTTTGTGTTTGCGGTGCTCTCCACGTTGCCGTGGGTGGGGCGTGATCTGTACGAGAAGAAGGAGTCAGCACTGGAGTCGCTGCTGCTGCGCATTGAGGTGTATTTAAATAAGCGCTCGAAGAAGCATCATAATGCGCTGCGTGTCTGGTCATCGGATGCGCCACATCCGCAGGAGGAGTATCTGGACTGTCTGTGGGCACAGATACGCAAGCTGCGCCAGGATAACTGGGCCGAGAAGCATATACCGCGTCCGTACCTCGTCTTTGACGCCATTCTGTGCGAGGCACTGCAGCACAATTTGCCGCAGATTACGCCGCCGCCACACCATGACGCCTTTGAGTATCCCATGCCGTGGGTTGTCTACCGCATGTTCGACTACACCGACTGCCCCGATGGACCTAACCTGCCGGGTGCCCATTCGATCGAGCGTTTTCTCATCGAGGAGCATCTGCATCACATCATTGAGACGCATCATCATGAGCGCAAAGATTGCGCTGCACAGCTGCTGAATTTTCCGTTCAAGCACAAGATCCCATTAGAATACTGCATCGTCGAGGTAATCTTTGCGGAGCTCTTTCACATGCCCACGCCTCGCTATCTGGACATTTGCTATGGCTCCATTCTAATTGAGCTGTGCAAACTGCAGCCGGGCACATTGCCCCAGGTGCTCGCCCAGGCAACTGAGATACTGTTCATGCGCATCGACTCGATGAACACGTCGTGCTTCGATCGCTTCGTCAACTGGTTTAGCTATCATTTGAGCAACTTTAAGTTCACCTGGTCCTGGGACGAATGGGACAGTTGTCTGCTGCTCGATGCCGAGCATCCACGTCCCAAGTTCATCCAGGAGGTGCTCCAAAAGTGCCTGCGGTACGATATGCCCTAAAGCTTAATCTTTACTTAAATAAAACTCCTTTCTATCGCTCACAGACTGTCCTATCATCAGCGCATCACCGAAATGATGCCCACAACGTATGCGAAACTGATCCCGGTCATGCCCGTGCCTAACTACAAGTACACCAGCGAGGAGGCTGGTGAGTACCAAATGCCAAATATTCTCTAGCACCTGGTGCAAGCAAGTTGTTACTTTGAATCAAATCATATTTATTTGAGTGCTATAAATTTTAGAAAATACTTAACATGAAAATAACTGAAAATGGGAGCTCAACCACTCTCACGATTTGGTCAGATCCTTCTCCTCCACCACCTGCTCCTGCTTCGTTTTCAGTTAATTTCTTTTTTTTTGTTACGCTTAAGTTTAGGATTAGTTAATTGCATTTTTGGGGCATTTAGCTGTGCTTCACCTCGTTCTCATCGTCGTCCACAATGATGGGTATCTCCTCGCCGTTCTCGCCCACCTTGATGCTGACGGATTTGCTAACCGATTTCTGGGTGAGCACCTCGATGATTTCACCCGCCGGCAACGCCGAGCTGTTGACTGCAGGCGAAGATGTTGTTGTTGTCGGTGTTGTAAATGTTATCGGTGATGTTGTTGGTGTTGTTGTTGTTGTCGGTGCTATTGTTGTTGTTGTTGTTGTTGCTGTCGTGGGCACAAATGCCACTTTGGATTCATGGCGATGACTGCTCTTGGCCCGGCTGTCCATGCTGGTGGCATTCTCCTTGCGGCGCTGCTTCCACTTGGCTATTGTCGGCTGCTCCGTGGTTGTCGTTGTTGTCGTTGTTGTTGTCGATCTGCCGGCGGTGATGCGCGGCGTTGTCCGATAGCGACTTAAAGCGCGCAGCGGCGAAATGCTGGTCGAGGTGGACACAAAGCTTGCTCGGCTTGTGGCCGCTGCTCTTGGTGGTGCCATGGAAGTGCTTGTTGTTGATGTTGATGATGTTGTTGTTGTTGATGATGTTGTTGTTGTCGATGTTGTTGTTGCGCTTTCTGTGCTTGTGCTGGACATTGGTGCTGCTGTGGTGGCCAATTTGTGTTGTTTTTGACTGCCAGCGGGTCGCTGTTCGGGCTGCATTGTGGGCAGCTCTGCCGTTTCCTCGTCCTCCTCGCCGTCCTCCTGCTGCTCGCTTGTAGTGCCGCGCTCCAACTGCGCTGAATGATGCTGCTGATGGTGCTGCCGCAGTGGCTCATCGGATTCATAGCTGTGCGGCGTCTCCAGCTGGAGTACATCCACTGGATGCTGATGCACATAAAGCGGATCCGGCTCAGAGTAGCGGTAGACGGTCTCCTCCAGCGGCTCGCTTTGCACAAATGACTTTTGCTCCTCCTCAGCATCTGCCGCGGCGCCGGCATAGATCAACAGCGGTGTCAGCTTGGACGAGTCGTGTTTGGATGCCTGATCGTAACCTGTTTATACACATTCAAGATCCAAACCAAGATTAGTATTCCATAATGAGAGACTGAGATAATCAGAATCTTAGCTAGTTCCTCGGACTTGGGCAGATGTGAATCCTATAGAAACTGTCCAACATTTCCATACACTAACATTACATTATATTCCTGCAAAAACCGTCTCAAATCGGGCTACTCCATAATAATATATGACTGCTTTATGAAACAATCGTAAAGCTAGAGAAATCGAAAATATATATAGCTCTATATATAAAACTGTTTGTCCTGACTAACCGACTGATTGACTGTTGGAATGCGAGCTAGGTTGATCCTTAATCAGAATCTTTGATGTCTGGTGCGCGAAATCTGAAATCAGGAGCATTTCCAATCCTATATTTCTCATATCTCTATACAAAAAACTGTTTGTCCTGACTGACTGACCGACTGACTGACCGACTGACTGATTGATGATCAACGCACAGCCCGAACCATAAGAGCTAGGAAACTGAAATTTTCACATTAATTACCTTATGCGATGAAGGTGCACGCTAAGACGCGATTTCGGGAAATTCTACCCGCATGTGTGGAAAAATCGCGAAAAAGGTTTATGTGCAACTTTATTTTGTTTACCATCCGATCAGCCTCAAAACTTATTTTCAAAGATCTTTTGTTCAGATTCATTTGAGGACTCTATCACACTTTTCGAAGAAATGCATTCCTCCTTGGCGGAAATGGGGGTCAAAGATTTGTTGGGCGACGTTTTGTTTTCAAATTTATTTCCAAATATCTAATCGAAAAATTATTTGACGCGTGTTTCACACTTTTGATAGGTTTATTTTTCGGCTTCAAGATTCTCACCGCAAGACCAACATGGGCGAAAGACGTTGATTCCAACATTTGGTGCCTTATTCGATGCACTTTAAACATATATTTTAATAGAAGATGAGTTCAAGATAATTCGGGTGGATTTCGCCACGGTCACCAAGCTATTAATATATTTTCACATATCGATAACTCTTTTATTTGATCGATATATATCGATTTCGAGCTTCAAGATAAGAGTTATGTTAGATACAACAAACAGGATATTTCGTTCAAGTGTGTACAGTTTAATAATATTCCACCTCTTGGCTGCCCAAAGCCTATCGCTGGAAATATCAGAGCTAAGACTCTATATACACCGGAAATGCATATACCATACATAGCAGGAAGTTAGGAGGATTGCACCGCCAGCAGCAGCTGGGCTTAGGGTATCTCCTAGTCAGACGCTGCCGACTGCAGCCATTTAGAGAGCTCACCTGTATAGATTTGTGGATGCTGTTCCTGATCCTGATGCTCATCCTCGCCAGGCTCCAGGGACTCCGCAGAAGCTGGTTCGCGGTTCGTCGGCAATTGTAGCTCACGATGCGATTCATAATAATGCGATTCAGGATAATGATGGCGATAGGGCGGCCCTGTCGCTGGCGCTGGTGTGGACAGTTCCGCCACGTAAGTGGCTGGACGATAGCCCAGCTCCGCATGATTGCCGCCGCCATCAGCCAGGCCATTGGGCGTCATGTAGAAGTGATGATGGAAATGATGGGTAACTGCAGGATTGGCTGGCACGGAAGCGGCATTAGCGGGACCAGCGCCTCCGACGCCGCCGACGCCGCTGCCCAGTTCGTTGGGCAAGGGGTAAGGCTCCGGGGGAGCGGACAGCTCCGGACGTGGACCAAACTTGACCGGATAGCCGGGTCGAAATGTTGTGGCCGGTATGAAGTTGGGACGCAAGCCCAGATTGTAAAGGCCCGGATACTGTTCGATCTTGGGCGTACCCTTGGGTATGCCCTGCTTTAGATACTCACCAATGTTGAGATTGGGCGGCAGCAGCGGCGGCAACGGCGGCAATGGCGGCGGCGGAGGAGCCTGAAAGATGCCATGCATAAATGTCGCCTGCGGCTGTCGGTCCTGACGTCGCTGGGCTAGCTCCTGTTCGCGCTTCTCCTCGTAGAGCTGCCGGCCAAAGCTCTGCGGATAGTCGGACTCCTTCTGGATGTAGCTCTGCGGCGGCCAGCCAATGCTTGCCGCCAGCGGCGACACGCTGAACTTCAGCTCGTAATGGAAGCGTTGAGGCAAACTCTGGCCAATGCCGCCATCCCGATGCCGGATGCGCTGCACACGCCACAGAGCGCGTGTCTGGATGCCCGCCGTTGGCGTCGATTTGGCATCCGTGTTGCCCTCGACAAACCGATAGCTGCCATTGGCCGAGAACTGTTCCAGCCGACCGCTGGCCAGCGTCACAATATCCCCAAAGCGGGCTGGGCCCAGCTGCGTCTGGGCAACGGCGGTGAGCGGCATATACGGCGTCTGCAGAAAATTGTGATAATCATGCAGCTGGCTGCCATTGGCCGCCGCACAGGCGCGCTTTAGTGGCATCAATATAGCTGGCCGGGACAACCTACCTGAGATTGCCAGCGGCGGCGCCCACGGCGGCGTCCGTGAACAGCGTCACATAGGTCACATGCTTCAAGGTGCGCTCCCAGCTGCGCACCACATCCGTCGTCGGCTGCTCCTCGTAGTAGATGCGTTTGCCGTTCGATTGCAGCGACTGCTTGGGCGTCAGCACCAGATCCCGTCCAGCGCCCACAATGGCCAGCATCGGCGGCAGCTGCTGCAATTTAGCAGTTGGCTATCAGTTTCAGCTGGGATCAGTTTCTAAAGAGATCCAGCTTAGCCTTTCTGTGCAATCGGACCATGTCTCGTCTAGAGACGCTAAAAGCTGGACCTCTCTCTCTCTCTCTCTCTCTCTCTCTCTCTCTCGGATTATCACAGACTTCTTATAGAGTACTCCAGAATGACTGCAAGTATCCACATAAGGTGGAAGATACTGCCCACAGACAATGCCATGAGCAAGCCGAAACAGAAACAAGGCACACTCTGGTCAACTGAAGGCCCTTAGACGCGAAATAAGCTAGTGACACGTCCAGACTGAAAGAGGGTGCTACTCTAGCCTACTCTGTGCCTCAAGTGACAGGCTTGTGCAGCATCTGTCACGGGCACAGCAAGAGCAGGGCACGATAAACGATACATGATACTGTAAATCAGGCCAAGCTCAATATGGGTTAGCTTTGGCCATGGATATGGTTGGCTGTTTGTAGCCGAAGCTTTGTCCAGCGCCAAGATCTTAACCCATGTGCGACTCTCGTCTAGCAACATCTCAGGGCTGGCTACAAGTAGCTCGAAGAAGCTACTGTCCATGTCACCCACTCGGACACCGCAGAGAAACAGTTGGGTCACGAGTTGACTTGACTTGACTTGACCTTCTATATCGATCCGTTAGTTTCAAGCCCACCAAATGGAGGCACAGTTCTGCACCACTTACGATTGCCAAGAATAGTATGCACACGAGGCAAGGGACTTGCCACATTTTCACATCAAAAAAAATCACGAAAAAAAAAGTTAACGAAAACACAAATGAATCTTTGACAGCTCTTTTGGCCAATTCTTTGGACGTTTGTGCCGCGCGCGCGCTTTGGGTTGACTGAAAGGCGTTCGCGACGTGCGCACCGCTAATAACAAAACCCAACGACAGACGGGTAAACCACCAAATGCCTCCGCTGCTGCCACCACTGCTGCCTCTGGCTTCGTCTGCTGCTTTCGTTGGAGCAGCCAAGCGGCGCATCGCCAGCGGCGGCAGTTTCGCAATCTTTGCCAACGGCCGCGTTTCTAACAGCAGCAGCAGCAGCAGGTGGTGCGGGTGGTTGCGCGGCTGACGCGCTTTTATGCAACACTCGCGGATGTTTAGACCCGCTTCAAGCAGAAAGCCAAGCGCCCCACCATACAAAACTCCAAACCCAACCTAAGACCCCGCCTACTGAGCTGAGCTGAGCTGAGCTGAGCTGGCGAAACGCTTTTTGGCAAGTCGCGTAGACTTGTGGAGCAGCACGCCGACCCACTCGGAGCCACTCCGACCCACTCCGACCCACTCGAACCGAGCGAGATTCCCTGTCAGATAGGCTGCTCGCTTCGCTGAAGTTCAATAGTGGAACTGGCCGCCATCAGATGCCATTCCATCCGATTCGATTGTCGTTCTCATTGCGTTTCAGTTCACCTTGTCTCAGGTTCTCTCTTTGATTTTGTAGAGGGTAAAGATCACATAATTGATAGCACAAGGGCTTAGACTTAGGGGAGAAACGCGCTAGAAAGCTCGAGAAAGTATTACGTTAGGGAAAAGGCAAGAGCCGGAAAGAGAATAAGTAAAGATGGAGCCCCAACTGGCCACAAGTGCAGACAAAGCACGACCATAAACAGGTTCAATTGAAAGCATTTAGAGCCATGGCTCAAGATGAGGCTTGAACTGAGACTAAGATTGAAATAATTGAAAAAATGCCTGCATCCATTTTGGGACAGCAAAAGCGAAGTCTACTTGAACAAAAATGTAAAATGTGCTAGCTTAAGGACTTATAGAAAAGCCAATGCGAAAGATCGATATTTATCGAACGCTGAAAAATGAGAAAAGTTATCGACAACTTGAAACCGATTTGTTCTTTGCATGCAATTCGAGCTCTTCAGCTACCATCGAATGCGCGTTAATGCTTTAAAAAGCAACGACTACAAATCGATAATTATCGAAGTAGGTTTAGTGGGAACAAGGTGTCGGTATTTTGATTAGCCTGCGCAGCAAGAATATATGAATGGGACGGGACCTTCTGCATCTTATATGCTGCATCTCAAGGTACCCTTTTTATTGTAATATGGTAAACAGCCTAAAGCAACTTATAACTATTTTTTATGGGGTTTTCAAGAGTCAACTCTGGGGCCTTGCTTAGCTCTTGTGCTGCTTCTCATGACTGTCATATAAGTATTAAACATAGAACTCGTTTCTCCCCCGCCAAACCCAACTAAATATGAGACACACACACACACACACACAGCTGGCTCATAGACATGCAGATTTGTGCGTTTTTCCACTTTCGCTTTGTGTTTCACATTCGTAAACGTTGCAGCTGGCCATTAATGCGTGTCGTGTCACGCGCTCATCGCTTACTGCGCCACTTTAGCATTGACAGCCAGGCAGACCGCAGAGAGCGGAAGAAGAGCAGCTGCAGCCCCAGAGCTGGACACGTTGCGGTCGATAGAGCAGCGCCCTGATCTTTGGAGCGCCATGCCCTGCCTTGGACATGCCCAATTTGAGCTGAAAACCAAAGATCCGTGAAAATATACATATTTTGGCATCAAGTCAAACCAAATGCTAATAATCTAAGGCGAATGCCCTATAGTCGAAAAGTCGCACAGTGGGCATGATCGATCTTGATCAGGACGACGACCTAAATTTAATTAATCAGATATAGGTATAGATATAGGTATAGATATAGATATAGATATAGATATGGATATGGATATGGATATGGATATAGATATAGATATAGATATAGATATAGATATAGATATGGATATAGATATAGATATAGATATAGATATAGATATAGATATAGATATAGATATAGATATAGATATAGATATAGATATAGATATAGATATAGATATAGATATAGATATAGATATAGATATAGATATAGATATAGATATAGATATAGATATAGATATAGATATAGATATAGATATAGATATAGATATAGATATAGATATAGATATAGATATAGATATAGATATAGATATAGATATAGATATAGATATAGATATAGATATAGATATAGATATAGATATAGATATAGATATAGATATAGATATAGATATAGATATAGATATAGATATAGATATAGATATAGATATAGATATAGATATAGATATAGATATAGATATAGATATAGATATAGATATAGATATAGATATAGATATAGATATAGATATAGATATAGATATAGATATAGATATAGATATAGATATAGATATAGATATAGATATAGATATAGATATAGATATAGATATAGATATAGATATAGATATAGATATAGATATAGATATAGATATAGATATAGATATAGATATAGATATAGATATAGATATAGATACAGATACAGATACAGATATAGATATAGATATAGATATAGATATAGATATAGATATAGATATGGATATAGATATGGATATAGATATGGATATAGATATGGATATAGATATGGATATAGATATGGATATAGATATGGATATAGATATGGATATAGATATGGATATAGATATGGATATAGATATGGATATAGATATGGATATAGATATGGATATAGATATGGATATAGATATGGATATAGATATGGATATAGATATGGATATAGATATGGATATAGATATGGATATAGATATGGATATAGATATGGATATAGATATGGATATAGATATGGATATAGATATGGATATAGATATGGATATAGATATGGATATAGATATGGATATAGATATGGATATAGATATGGATATAGATATGGATATAGATATGGATATAGATATGGATATAGATATGGATATAGATATGGATATAGATATGGATATAGATATGGATATAGATATGGATATAGATATGGATATAGATATGGATATAGATATGGATATAGATATGGATATAGATATGGATATAGATATGGATATAGATATGGATATAGATATGGATATAGATATGGATATAGATATGGATATAGATATGGATATAGATATGGATATAGATATGGATATAGATATGGATATAGATATGGATATAGATATGGATATAGATATGGATATAGATATGGATATAGATATGGCTATAGATATGGATATAGATATAGATATAGATATGGATATAGATATGGATATAGATATGGATATAGATATGGATATAGATATGGATATAGATATAGATATAGATATAGATATAGATATAGATATAGATATAGATATAGATATAGATATAGATATAGATATAGATATAGATACAGATATAGATATATATATAGATATATATATAGATATGGATATAGATATAGATATGGATATAGATATAGATATAGATATAGATATAGATATAGATATAGATATAGATATAGATATAGATATATATATAGATATAGATATAGATATAGATATAGATATGGATAGAGATATGCATGTAGAGAAGGAAGCTAGAATGCTTGTGTGGGCAACTTGGCGCTGGACTTAGGGTATCTCCCAGTCGAGCACTCTCGTCTAGAGCGTTCTTAGCTGTTACTATTAGCTGTTGGCGCGATTCATTCAGCAGATATTCAGCCAACATTCCAAACTGCCTTTGCTGCTGCTGCTGCTGTGTGAACTTTGGGGGCTGATCTTGACACGCTCCATTGTCTCGAAAATGGCATTCTTGAGCTTTGTTTTGCTTGGCTGTCTGATGGCCTCACAGTGTTTGGCAACTGGGTCGCGCTGCAGTTCCGCATTTGGCTTGCCAAATGGACGCATTAATTCGTTTAAATTAAGTCTGTTGCCCCTTCCCCCTTTCCACCAGCTCCTCTTGAGCTCAACGCGCATTTCATTGACATAATCGACTCAAGTGCCAATAAATTGCATGTAATCGCTGATGTCAGGCGGAGATGGCTGCCCCTGCCGGAGTACCGTCTGGGCAGTGGGCAGGGGGCGGGGAGCGGGGGGCGGGTGATGTAGTCATCATTAGTAACGCACCAGGCGGTAGCAGTGGCAGGCGCGCTGGGCCTGTTGCCGCTTGGTTCCACGCGGCGGCACACCAAACGCAGTTGCAACTGGCGCAAGCGAAAGTGTCAACTATGCCAGCAGCTAACCCGCTCCAGGTCCCCCTCCCTCTCTCCCCACTACCTGCTCGTAATAAGCATTTAATGATGTTGCATTCAAACAAATCATTTCCGTTTCTCTCTCTCTCTCTCTGCGTTTCTTTCGGCGCAGCCAATCTGCCCGGGACAACGGTCGCCCTGCAGCTGGTCGGCGCCATACGGCAGAAGTGCACGCCGGAGGAGGTGGTCAACATATTGAAGGAGATACCCAGCAGCGGTTACAGCGGCGAGGAGATGTCCGATGGCAGTTTCAATGCGCTGAAAATAGATGTCTTTGTCCAGACGCTGCTCAATTTGGGCTCGAAATCGTTTTCGCACAGCTTTGCGGCAATATCCAAATTTCATGTGGTATTCCGTGCGTTGGCCGAAACGGAGGAGGCACAAATCTGTATATTGCACAACATCTTTGAGCTGTGGTCATCGCACCAGCAGATGATGGTGGTGCTCATCGATAAGCTGCTCAAGCTGCAAATTGTCGACTGCTCGGCGGTGGCCACATGGATATTCTCCAAGGAGATGACAGGCGAATTTACCAAAATGTATCTCTGGGAGATACTGCATCTGACCATCAAGAAGATGAACAAGCACGTCATTAAACTGAGTGAGTAAATGCTGATCGATCGATCGATCAATTCACTAAACACTAAACCCATATGTCTGTAATCCCTTACAGATACCGAGCTGAGCGATGCCAAGGAGAAGCTGTCCAAGGCGGATTCATCGTCCAGCGACACGGATGAGGATACGCCGCACAAGCGCAAGAAGCCCATTACGCATGCCGATAAGCCATCCGAGGAGGTAGCTCCATTCAGTTCGGGTTTCCCTTTTAAACCATTTATTTACCATCCGCATCCATTCACAGGTCGTTGAGCGCATGGAGGAGAAACTGGAGGCAGCCAATGTGAATCAGAAGCGTCTGTTTCTCATCGTCTTTCAGCGCTTCATTATGATACTATCCGAGCATCTGCTGCGCTCGGACACAGATGGACGCGATCCGGACACAGACTGGTATCGCTGGACCATCGGCCGCCTGCAGCAGGTGTTCCTCATGGTAAATCGAGCACACACGCATTTAGCTATATATATTCGATACTAATCCTTGCAACACTTTTTCTACCAACAGCATCACGAACAGGTGCAGAAATACAGCAGCACGCTGGAAACGCTGCTCTTCACATCCGATCTGGACTCACACATACTAGAGGTCTTCCAGCAGTTTGTCGCACTGCGCGCCTAACAGAATCGAACAACAACAACAACTACAACTACAACAGCAATAACAACAACAACAATAGCTAGCTGCCACTTGAACTGTGTCCAGACGCGACTCTGGACCTGCTCCGGCGGCATGGAGCAGCCAAAACAGCTGCGCTTCGGGCAATCATTTAGTTCTTTTTTAGGATTTCGTTTTTTTTACACACACATATGCATACAATTGTAATTTTATGATAAGTGGGCTCCAGCAAAAAGCCGCCTACATCAATTTAACCACAAGTCGCAACACACACACAACATAAATACACATATACAAGATCTACATAAAATGACAAATTTTGTAATTTGTAATACAACAAAATGCATGAATTAAAGATATGCAAATGCAAAGCTAAACATTTAAAAATTGTTATTTTTATACGGGTCGCTGACTTAACAGCCTAGCAAACAAATCTGTATGGTTCAAAATAATATAATATTTTATATATATATTTACAGGGATTTGTTCAATAAAAATGATATATTTGAACTTGGTTCGTAAAATGGTTTTATTAGCACATACTTGCAGTTTAGTACGCACTGTGTCGCTGCTTTCTGCACATCACAGTTGGATGGAAACTGTACACAGGCTGTGCTTGTTATTGAGGTTTGAGGTAAGCTGTGACCAAGCTGCAGCATTAGAGGTTTTATGTTTACTGTGCACATGATTGTACTAGGCAAAACAGTTATAGTAGCACTGTGTCTTAGAAAGTCAGCACATATTGTGGAACATAAAAAAAGTGCAGCATACATTTGGGCTGGCATGAAATTTAAAGAATCCAAACTTCTGATAAGTAAGCTTGCAATTTTATTCGCACTCAGATCCTATTTATATATATATATATATAGTATATGTATATATAGTATGGTGTATGTTTATATTATATAAAAATATTTTCACTTTAGCACATTTCTTTTTGGCACCGGTTTCTGTTTTGTTTTCATTTTGTTTTTTGTTTTTTAGGAATCAGGTTAAGAGCTGCTCGGGCTGGGGCTCGGTTTCGGGTTATAGTCATTGCTATAGCTAAATTGCTTTGCTTGGTAGATTTGTAGACTTGCAGGTCGGTCAGCTATGGTGGCATCTACGAGGTGCGCGGCTGGCTGGGCACATACTTCTCCGAGGGCTGATACTGCCACTGGGCGCAGATGGCCTCCTGCTCCGTTTGATTGTAGCCAGCTCTGGTTGGGAAGAGACAGAGAGACCGTCAGACTGTGAGAGAGAGATGGAGATGCTGTGGGATATAGCTGGTGAGCATTGGCATTCGAGATGTGCTTAATTTATTTTCATTAAAAATGAGAAAACAAATGAAAATCAGAAGAAAAAAAAGAAAATGAACAACAACAACAAAAAACTTAAAACGAAACATGCAGTTGCTTTGGACATGCTGACTATGCGCTGCGTGCGTCAATCCTCTGCAGCTACTAATACTGAGCGGGCACAGATGCCGCCCGGAGCTCAGCTCAGCTCAGCTCAGCTCAGCTCCAGCCATAATCATAGCCATAGCCATAGCCGGGGCCATAGCCGGGGCCATAGCGCGGCCGCTCGTAGTAGTAGCCCCTCGAGGGCGGCCGGCGGCCTGGCGGCAGTTCGCGGCTGACCGGCGCATGGAGGCTGTCCCAGAGCAGGCGGGGACGCTGGACCACCTCGCGCAAAATGTTGACTGCGGCCAGGCCGACGCTGGCCAGCTTGACGCCGAAGCGTCGTGCATTGTGCTTGATCGGGGGCAATGGTGCGGGCGCAAGGGCGCGTCCCAGCGGATGCTGCTGATGCTGATCTAGAATCTTGGCAATTAGATTATCGGCATGCGGCGGCACATAGAGATCGGCCTGCCGATACTCGGCCGGGCACTGCTGCCGGCTGCCATATAAGTAATCCTCGAACCTTTGGTGCGCCGAGCAGGGGCTGCGCTCCTGGAAGCAGGTCACCTGCACCACATTGTAGAAGATGGCGCCCAGCGTGTTGGCCGTCTCCGTGTTGGCCGCCTGCAGGCAGCGCCGGAACCGGGCATCGCAATCGCAATGGGATCGGGTGAAGGTGCCGCGATTGCACAGACCGCGCCGGCAGTCGCCCACGTTGAGCACATCCGGGCACATGTCGTGCTCGCGACAGCATCGATCCTCGCGCGCATGCTGCCCAAGATCATCGTAGCTGGTGGCGGCTGTGCCCGGACCGCACCATTTTGTGCCCGGATAGATGAAGCCGAGGCCGCCGCGAAACTCATGCCCATAGGAGCCCTGACGCCGGCACACCTCCTCCAGCTCCACGACCGACTCGCGCGGCACCTGCCGTATGCGACGCGGATCCGACTGCAGCAACATGCGCTGAATGTCGCCCCTGCGGCAGCACAAATACAAACAAAAATAAAACGTTTCCAATATGAATTTTGCAAAAGATCGCTGTGGAATTATTTGGCTTTTGTGCGGCACTCACCGATCCGTGTGCATCTTGCAGAACGGATGACGCGACGAGAGCTCCACCATCATGGTCATGGTCATATCCGAGATGAGCACCGCGGAGCCAGCGCTCGGCGGCAGTCCCTCGCTCAGCAGCAGCGCCAGCAGCAGCGATGTCAGCGGCAGCGCCGGCGGCTTCATCACGTCTTCCAGCAAAGAAAGAGCGAGCGAGAGAGAGACACAGAGGGGGAGAGAGAGAGAGAGCAGCTGCAAAGAGAGCGCCAGAGTATATGAGAGAGCGGGCAATAGAGATGAGCACGAGACGCTAAACGAACACGAACACGAGCACGACACGCAGGACTTTGTTGGAGATTTCAATATTCCTGTAAAGGGAGGATCGCCGAGTCCGTCAGCTCAAGTCAAGTCGTGCGTGTTCGTGTCACGACACGCGCTCAAATAGAGCGCCAGAGTATATGAGAGGGCGGGCAATAGAGATGAGCACGAGACGCTTAACGAACACGAACACGAGCACGACACGCACGACTTTGTTGGAGATTTCAATATTCCTGTAAAGGGAGGATCGCCGAGTCCGTCAGCTCACGTCAAGTCGTGCGTGTTCGTGTCACGACACGCGCTCCACGCTAAGCGTGCGAGAATAGTGGGCACCACGTAAAGCGCGTATCATTGAGGCTGAAGGACCGGGCTGAGACTCGGAATGTGGCCCACATTCAGCGGCCAATTAGCAGCTGGCTCGCCCGCATCTTGGATTTTGGCTAATTTCCATGGTCCGGTCAGCGCGCACAGTTGACCTCACGCCGAGCACAATGCGCGACGGCACAGTGGGCCGCAGTCGTGCGAAAAATGTGATCAGCTCTTTGGAGCGCGACCGGCGCACGGCTGGCACCACGGTAAATGATGAACGCGGCGATCAAAACAAAATCAATGAAATGCAGATAACAAAAACAAATTTGCAAAATAAAAGACAACGTTTGCCAAGCAAGAGGAGTAGTGCACGACTAGCAGATACCCTGCATTCCTTAGCCAGCGACAAGGTGCAGTAGCAAGCACACACACACACGCACACACACAAACCTTGGGCAGCATCTGTGCTTCTTCTTTCGGTCAGCTGCATACCATGGGAAATACTTTCTGGATTAACTCTGGTGTTTATCGTCCGATACTCATAGAACTTTCAGGGAATGAATATTAGTTTGAAAAGCGTGCATATACAAAGGCGCAAGATTCTGTCTTTGCAAATCAGTTTTATACTCAATTTGTATTCGAATGTTTGGAGCTATCCAAAAAGTGAAATGTTTTTAATCTGTAAAAGCTCTACGAGAAGCTGCTCATCAAATTTAATAACTCTAGCTCTGATAATCGTCGAGATATTCGCAAGAAACAAAGTCTGCGAATCGATATTTATCGATATTTATCGATATTATAGAAATATATTGAAAGATATCGATATGCCAGAATGAGTACATTAAATTTGATCAGCTTAGATCGTTGTCCGGATTAAGAATTTGTGATTTATGGGGTCGGAGAAGGCAGCATCTACCGCCTGTTACATACGAATCCCCTCAACATCAATACTCCTTCTTAGTGGGTACAGGGTATAAAAGCCAAGTCAAAATAATTTAAAACATAAAAGACGAAGTTTGGCAACAGAAAGGAAAACAAAAAGAAAAAAAAAACACAAAACGGAAACTAATTACGATTTTGGCCAGCTTTAAGGTGCGGCTGGGAGGGGGGGTTTGGCAGCTGAGTGTCGAAATGATGCGCCGCAGCTGGCGCTGCGATAATTGGCCAATCGCTTGTTACCAATTCTTGGCGCATTTTTCGATACGGAAAGGTCAAGGTCGACCAGCCACGCCCACTTTTTCCAATTACAGCCAACTGTGTGCGAAGTGGCTACCGGATTTATTTGGCCAATAGATCTGCGACAGTCCGAAATGTTTAACAAGCTAACAGCTGGCGCATACCCTGCAATGTTGTGGCAGCGGGGCATATTGCATTTAGACACATGAGGGACAGGTCTTTCGGCTCAATTGGATTGTCAGTGCGGGACTCCCTAGATGAAATGTCATGTAAGCTGTCCTGCACTACACTCACTCGCGCTGTCTCTCTCGCTCTTTAGAACATTATTAGAGCATTCAGCTTTTGTCCGTTAACAGTGTTGGGTTAAGTGTTGTATAGCAGTGTTGTATAGCATGAATGAAGTTAAATTAAAGATTTAAGGACAGAAATCTTTTATAAAAGCGAAGAGTATTTGCGGTGCGTTCATGCTCAACATTTTGGTCTTGAAGAGTTAGTTTGAGTTATTTTCAGCGACTTTGGCATTTTTGTTTGTTTATTGAATGAGCACAAATCAATTTTTTATATGTTGTTTTGCTCTTTTTTTTTTTTTTGTTTTCTCATTTTTTAGCAGGTAAACATCAGAAATACCATCGAAAAGCGCAAGTCTTGTGGGGAGCTATTGTTAAGGTCTGCGACGACAGACAGTTCTCTCGGTTTTGATTTAGTTGTGGTTGGTTTTTTTTCGTTTTTCTTTCTGGGAAGGGACATTGAATTCCAAGGCGTAAACTTGGTACAGTTCACGTCACGTCACGTCACGTCGGATTATTACAGATAATTAATGATGACATATTGAGAGGCGCTTATTAACTACAATAAGCATCCAATTTATGAGCCTCAAAGCAGCTTGACACACTCGGCAGAGTGGCCAAGAGCAAGGGGGGGGGGGGGGGGCAGCTGAAGATCAATCAGCGATCGTTGAACAATCTAGCGTGGGCGATCAAACAATTCACAGATCTATTTGGAGACAGACAACGACAGCTGCGAGCGATCTTAATTCGCGCAATTGGACTGAGAAGGCGGTATTCGGTCTGCCGATCGGCAACAACAAGATCAGTAGCTGTGCCTTCCAAATGTTTTCAATAGGCATTCCCATATCCAATTCCAATACTTTTCCGGTTTATCGAACACAATTTCGCACAATAACAAATGGCAACTGATCGCAGACGCAATCACGATCTGCAGCTCGTTCTCTGGAATGATCGACGGCACGATCTTTCGACTCAATATCAAAAGTCGCGGCTTAATTTGTTGATTTATCTCTAGCTCGTGGCTAGATTGTTGATTCGATCTGCCGCTTGCACTTGGACGATCTGATCTTCAGCTCGATTTCGAACTGCACTTCGCTCCAAAGTACCAAAGTCCCCAGCTAGATCTATAGCTGAATGCCATACAGCTAAATCTAGAGAACCAACTAAAGCTTGATCTTCAGCTAGATTTCAAACTAATTCAGGCTTAATCTGTGACACGATCTTCGGCTAGATCGCCAGATTAATGGACTAGCAGTTAAAGTTAGTTTGCCTTAAAGTTCAAGCATTAACTAGATCTGTAGCTGCAACTGCAGAGCGATCTTCATGCTGATCGACGGTCGGTAACTCAATTTATAGCTTAATATTTAGAGCGATCTGCAGCTTGAACTCGATCACGATCTGCGGCTCAATTTAGATACATTTTGTGTGTGTGTGTGTCTAGAGCGTCAACTGAATATATTTCAATAACAATATTGCGATCTATTTCCATACCCGTACGATTTGGCGATCTAACGATTCGCTGATCTGTTTTGAACGCGGCTGATCACCATTCGCTGCAGTCACCCTTCATCCATTCGCATAATTTTCAATGTCAATGCTTTTTAAATTCATGGCATAAATAGCCAGCTACGACGGAGCCCAGCGGGTCGATCGACGATCTACGATCGACGATCGGCGATCTACGTCAGCGTCTCGCCAAAGAGCCGGCGCTTTTTGTTTTGCCTTTTTCTCTAGCCTCTGGCCTCTGGCCTCTGGCCTCCGTCCCTGTCTTGTTTGTCTTTTCGTAGCACAAGATGAAACGAAATTGAAATCAAAGTTCGATTTGCTCGGCGATCGCATTTGGGCCGCTTTTGCTGCCTCAAGTACATTGACCGCGGCTGAGCCTCAGCCTCAGCCTCAGCCTCAGCCTGAAGCGTCGAGCGATCTATTTGGACTATTTTGGACCCCAGCTCTGGCACTTAACTGTTTTAGAGTTTCTTTGCCCATTGACCCATTGGAAATGGCTAAAACGAAGCGGGCATCATGTTTTTATTTCTCGCTAACGTATGTAAGGGGAGATCTTGCAAGGGAGTACGATCGGAAGCTCCCATACTATTTGTCTTTCGATATCTTCTCGCATTTGCATCGTATCGATAAATATCGATTTTAAGCAAGGGTTTCTTTGAGCACAGCTCGAGCATTAACGGAGCTAGATACACACAACTCGGTAGGCAGACTATTGTATAGCATACACAGCTTGAGCATATTTCACTTTTTGGATAAATTCACCTGTTCCCGAGTTAATCGGGATTGCATTTCCACAGTCGGGCTAGAATGTTTGCAACGACAGAGCATCTCCTAGTCGGAGCAATCTTTGTTTGTTTTTTTTTTGTTTTTTAGTTTTTTTTTATGGTTCAACATCCGATTAAAAAAGAAAAAACAAAGCAGCAAAGCAACAAAGCGTCTGACATTAGTAGGTTCAGGCGCGGGGGTTGGGCGGCAGCTGGAGTTCATGCCCCAAAGCTGTTACCTGGCACTTTATGGCCCATCGAGCTGTGAGCTACTGTTAGCCCTCTCGATAAACAAGTTCCACCTGCAATTAAATGGGGCGGGCGCTGAGAGGGGGGGGGGGGAATGGTTAGGTAGGTTGGGCTACGCTAAAGGTCGATGGGCGTGTCGTCGCTTGGATCATCAATCTTTCTACTTTTGCTCCTTGATCCAAGCACAAAATTGAAACCCGCAACTGAAGCGAACTCTACTTTCCTGCCCCCCCCCCCACCCTGCCCGTTGCCCCGCTGTTTGTACCCTGGCAAACCCTTCACTTGCCTTCAGATCTCGAGCGCAATGTAACTGGTTTTTCTTTGCTGTTGTTGTTGTTGTTGTTTGGATACATTATCGTTGCTGCTCCCCTTGCATTTTCAATGTCGCTTCTGGTCCACAAAAAAAAAAGAAACAACAAGTAACACCTGACGCCTGACCAGGAAATACCCTGTATGGACATGCTTCGTTTATCTTTCCGTTCCACAGAGTATGACAATATGCATTCTAGCATTCTCTTCGGTCTCTATAGTCCGATCTTTATGAAATTATCTGGGCAACATCAAAGTGTGCATACCATATCATCGAGAAGGGAAAAACTGGCGTAGCAAGTGGGGTATGCAAGAATTGAAATACTCTACGCAGTTCTA